GGTTTATCTCCAAAAGATCTCGGCTACTTTCGATATAGGCATGTATCGGATTGAAACTTCATGGATTATGGCCCCTGTTTGTACGAAAAGTCACGTTTTTAGCTTGTGGACCCTATAGAGGTCACAATTTTTATCCGATTTTGTTGAAACTTAAATGTAAGTTTATAACCTAAAGATCTCGGTTCCTTTCGATATTCGCGCATATCGGACCGTAACTTCCTGAATTATGGTCCCTGATTGTACGAAAAATCGCGTTTTTAGCTTGTGGACCCTATAGAGGACATAATATTTAACTGATTTAAAAAAAACGTATTACTATATCACCGTTACACCCTAAGGACGACTGAGTTCAAATTTCGTGAAAATCGGCCCAAAATTGACAGACAAAATGGCCGCCGTTCGTTCTCAAATACCGCGAGAATATGGTATATCAAGGTTGTGGACCCTATAGAGGTCACAATTTTTATCTGATTTTGTTGGAACTTGAAATGTAAGTTTATAACCCAAAGATCTCGGTTCCTTTCATTATTCGTGCATATCGTACCGTAACTTCCTTAATTATGGCCCCTGATTGTACGAAAAATCGCGTTTTTAGCTTGTGGACACTATAGAGGTCATAATTTTTATCTGATTTAAAAAAACGTATTATTATATCACCGTTACACCCTAAGGATAGCTGAGGTCGAATTTCATGACAATCGGCTCAAAATTGACAGACAAAATGGCCGCCGTTCGTTCTCAAATAGCGTAAAAATATGGTATATCAAGGTTGTGGACCCTATAGAGGTCACAATTTTATCCGATTTTGTTGAAACTTGAAATGTAAGTTTATAACCCAAAGATCTCGGTTCCTTTCGATATTTGCGCATATCGGACCGTAACTTCCTGAATAATGGCCCCCGATTGTACGAAAAATTGCGTTTTTAGCTTGTGGACCCTATAGAGGTCATAATTTTTATCCGATTTAAAAAACCATATTATTATATCACCGTTACAACCTAAGGACGACTGAGTTTGAATTTCGTGAAAATCAGCCCAAAATTGACAGACAAAATGGCCGCCGTTCGTTCTCAAATAGCGTAAAAATATGGTATATCAAGTGGGGAACTTTAGTCAGAATTTGCAGTCGAAACTGTGCATGGTGTTAAGTTTGCATGGTGTAAACATTCTGCCAACGAAGATATTGTTGGCCTCTGTGGAACTATTTATTAAGTTTAAATTGGTCATTTTTGACAACAGGAAGTGTTTTACGGATGGGACAAAAATAATCTCAGATTGCTCATATCTTGGCTATTTGTCAATGAATCTTCATTTGGTTTTCATTTTTCGGATCGAAATTTGAAAGTTTGCTCGATTAGTCTTAGCATCAAAGTTTTGCAAAAGTTTTCTTCAGCACTTTTTCTACATTCAAGATGGCGTATCCCTGTTAGTAAATAAGGTATCAAGTTGAAACTTGGTAGGAATAAGGAACACATTAAAAAAATTTGTGATGGCTTCTGTTTTTACCCGAACATGAATAGTTCTCTCCATTTTAAAAATAGACTAAAAATGACATGTAATGGTGGTGTTAGCCACAGAAATTGTCTTTCATTGTCAGAGACCTTGTTCTATAACATTTTCAACACTTTGGCCACCATATTGAATTTTACAAAAAACCTTCAAATCGATATCCAGCCGCCATTTTGATTTTCAAAAACGTTTTTATTGTTTTGAGCTGATTTTTGAATTTCGACTTTGTTTCCCTCCAGTTTCACTTTGAATTTTTTTCGACTTTTTATCCACTATCTGATGACCTAGCCATTCAATGACCCTTGACCTTTGCATATATGATGAAAACTAATATCAAAAAGTTCTATACTCGTTAGTAAAAATAGTAAATTTAATAGGTCTATAGATCAAAGATGGGAAACCGGGCAGGAAAATCCATGAGGTACTTTCTTGCCGAACACCGAACCTTTTGCTTACTGTGCAAATACCATAGGCCTACCCACTGAGCCACCGTTGCATTTCCCTAGATTGCATATTATGACACTCCCGCATGCAAGAGATGGCGCCACAATCCCCATACACTCACCTAAAGAGTCGAATGTGTGACCATAAGGCACAAATGACTGGCAAACTAGAGCTTTGGACACTATTCTGCAGATCACTGAGACATCTCAACCCCCACCGCTTCCTGTGAAATGAGAGGTTGGATGGTCGAATGGTTAGCATGTGCGCGTTGTATCATAAGGTCTGTCATTGAGTCAACTGGCGTGGTTTCGATTCCCTGGTTGTACGTGACAAGGAGTAGGGTCGCATGTCCGACCTTGTGGGTCCTCCCACTGCTAAAAACCCTTACACGCAAGCGAATTATTGAAATAAAAATTGAACCATATGTTAGTCTCGAAATGACCTAGCTTGTGTCGAGTGGACCTTAAACCCCATCATGGCGGAATGAATTCCAAAGTTTCAAACTCAAATTTATCAGTTGAAGTCGAAATACAAAGGCCTAAATTTATGGTTTGTACAACTTTGATAATTGTAGAATTGAATTATGTCCATTATAATTTGTGTCACTTAATTTAATTGTGAATTTGATCGTTGTGTGCTGCAGACACTACATGTGTCCAGGGCTGCCGACAACCAGTATCGCAGCGCAATTTGCGATACATATTTCGTCCGTTGCTAACCAAAAATTAAAATCTGACGTTTTTGATTCGCAGTTACTGCGAATCATTAATGTGCCTGTCATTTTGGATATTGTCACAAGAATAATCCACATTTTGAAGACTAGAAGGCTTACTCAACACTTTCAACGTGTATAAAATGTTGAATAAAATTTTATAAACAAAACTGAATTCTCCGTGTGACATTTTCTTCTCGAACTACCCAGACACAATACTATATAACACAGGGACATAACTCTATGAATAGGGACTATTAAACCGGAAATAGGGAATCAAGTAGTCGCACTCACGTTGCGAGACATCAAGTAATTATATCATATTCATTTTGAAATAAATAACTCCAGTGTATCGCACGTATTGTAAATAAAATATAAAAAAATAAATACATGTTAACGTATTGTAAAATGATAAATCAAAGTAAAAATTCCCGTAAAATATTATTGTTTATATCGCGTGTGTCTAGTTAATCGAGGTGCGCCCGATTGAACAAAAATAGTAATACACGATAAAAAGCAGACGAGATCGTTTCCTAACGAAGATTTCTAACGTAACAAAAAAATAACAATTAAAATGAGTGGGTCTTCGGAAGTCACTGTCAAGAATTGGCTTCAGACATAAGACCTAACTAAATGTCTACATCACATTTACAAACTGTCACAAGTACTTGTGGCAGTGCTAAAAAAATCTAAGAATAGTCAGAATGGAATCTAATCATATTTGTTATGAATTAAAGTAATATCTAATTATTTACATTGAAACTGAAAAACTGCTAATCAATTTTTAAATTTGCTAATCAAATTTGGCAAAATTGGACTTTTTGATTAGCAGCACTGTTAATCAACTGTGAAAAATTACCGACAGCCCTGGTTGTCATTAACTTCCAACAACAACAAGATTGACGCATAGACACAAAAGCCCAACCCGATATCGACATGTATCTTGAGAGATACGCCAGTTACATAGTGCACCCTCGATCCACCACATCATATGTGGTATCAAAGTAACCAGCATGACCCCGTGAATGATTTAGGCCATCGAATTTGGGCCCCTGGCAATTTAGGCCTTGGCCCCAGCCAAATAACGCTTCATTGCCATGCTTCACCATAACCTATGTGCTATCAAAGTAACCAGTATGATCCTGTGAATGTTTTAGGCCATCGAATTTGGACCCAGGGCAAATTGAAGTACCGCCCCAGATATTATATTTCATGTTCTAAGACAGTGGTTCTCAACCTTTTTGTGCCAATGGCACACCATGGAACACATGAGAAATTAGCGACACACCTGGCTAAATATATATGAAAAATATTTGAATTTTGCAAAATAAGAACATGGCATACAACCGTCAGACTATAGTCATAGACGTATAGAATGACTCAAAACTAAATAAAGAAAAACACAGCTATGAACTTATTTTATTGCAGTCTTTCGAATTTCATCAGTTCTAAGACCTTATCCAATAACATTTTCAACCCTTTGGTGCAAAAATATTGAATTTTACAAAAACACCTTCAAATCAATATTCAGCCACTATTTTGATTCTGATTTTCGAAACTTTTTTTTTTGTTTTGAACTTACTCCAAATGGCAACAATTCTTTGGGAGCCGATTTTTTAATTTTGATTGTGTTTACTTCCAGTTTCACTTTTAATCTACTATCTTGTCACTCGGCAAACCTCAGCAGATTCCAGTACCCTACATCTAGCCTCGGCTGTATTACAAAGTCCGCCGTTGGAACTACTTTCAAGTTCCTGGATAACCAACGGCGTTGCCCATGAAGACGGCTTTTGAGAATGTTTTTATCATACAAATATTTCAAAGTCTGAAGCTGTTTTTCTTTCAAGTTTATCTGATTTTCTTCAAACAAGGACAACTTTGCACTGAAAATTCTACACACGCTTCGAACAGCGCAATTTTGATAACTTCTTTTTAAAAGTGGCAAGTTTTCCTAATAAGTAAACCAGTGCCGCATCGCAATTGTTTAGGCATAGGTACATATCACTTACCGTCATACCGCTGAGGCTAGATGTAGAGTAACAGAATCTGCCGAGATTTGCCAAGTACTATCTTGTGACCTAGCTGTTCAATGACCCTTGACCTTTGCATATATGCTGATCCTGATGTCTACTAACATCTAATATCAAAATGTTTGGTCTTGAAGTATAACTTCCGGTTTTATCAAGAGTTCAAAATGACAAGTTTTTCCACTTTAATAGGTATTGGATGTGACCTGACATACTGAAACACGTAAATACTGCTTTTATGCAGTTCAAGATTGTATTGATATTTCACTTACAATAATTTATATTTACCAATATGAACTTTCTTTCAGGTGCTCCTCTACATGCAGTTCGCGTTCAACATGTAGCTCCTAACTTCCAGGCACCAGCTGTTGTAGATGGACAATTTAAGGATATCCAGTTGTCAGATTTTAAAGGAAAATATTTAGTTCTATTCTTCTATCCATTAGATTTGTAAGTTTAATTACACAATTTCCTTCATACAATGATTCATCAAGTCGCTCATTACAATATGGCGCTCAAAAGCATTTGTGTGCCAAGTTTAAAATTTTCATTGTGTCTTAGATATTGGATACCAGAAGCCCATCTTTCACAGTAATATCACTGAATAGTGATACTAAATTCTACTTCTTTTTCAAATTTTATTTTAAGGATATACAGAATTTATTTCTTAAAGTATATAGACAATATAGCTAATAGTAAGGTTATCATTTGGTCTTTCTTTACTTTTAGTGTTAATATTTTGATTTAAAGTCTATAAAAAGTAATTGCCTAAAAGCATGATTGGCTTTGACTGTTTTATAATCTTTGGATGCCAGTAGGCTTATTAAGAGAAACCTTAAGCAAAGATTTATACAGTTAACAATGCAGTCTGATCAATGCCAATCAAGTGTCAATGCTTTTTAATTCTTTATGGCTTAAAGCTTATTAGGTCCTATAAATTATATTTCACTATGAAACTTTCAACCAATGAAATTTATATATTTATTTAACTTCTTTTCATTTGATGTGTTACAATATTTTTATCTTTAATTTGATTTGTTGAAATCATTGTCCTTTTGTCTGTATACAAATTAGTTACTTTAAAAGACCTCTACACACAGACAAGAGGGCAGATGAAATTAGAGACACACAGACAAGGAGATCGAATGCCTTGTATATAATTTGTAAATAATGTATTTTTAAAACTGTATATAAAGTAATATTGAAATGAATTTGGAATTGGACTTTTAATGAACAGTGACCGCCTTCACCAGAATACTTTTCCAGTAACGAGCTATACACCCCCAATCCTAGCTCATCCACATCTACAAATTGTCCATATGTATGAAATATTACATATGTATCACCTGGGTGCATATTCGAACCAAGAATAGCCCCGAACGTTGGGTGATAGTAAGATAAAATCAATGTTGATTTAAATTGACCAATAAGTAGTGTTTGCAAAGACTAAGGCTGGCAAATTTTTTAAGTGAGAGTCTGTTCTCAGCCTGTTGTAAAGGCTGAATTCAGTTTTAAAATCTGTCAGTTTAGTATCTGAGCAGTTTTATTACCTGTTATTGTTATACTTAATAGAATTAATCCCAGCATCGGCCAATACAAACTTCAAGATTATTTGTACCAGGGGTACATCTTTCGGGACTGACAAAGGGGGCTGGCCTTGGGACTCTAATGAGGAAATTTAATCACAGTGTTTAACGTCTGCTTCCACTGACGGTGATAATCACAGACAAGTTGTCTTATTTTATTATGCTTAGCGCATGCGCAGGGGTCTTTCCTGTGGGAGGAAACTAGAGTACCCGGAGTAGACCCACGAAGTTGATAAGGCAACTCTGTCTCCAAGCTACATACACTCAATCCAGCAATTGAAACCATGACCGCAAACCAGAGGTTGACTGACCAACTACAGCTCGAAGCGCGCCACTCTAGACCACTAGGTCATCCCAACCCCCCTAGCTCTTGGTAAGGTGAGGGTAGAATTAGTAGAAATTTAAGACAATTGACTCTGGACTAGATTATCCGGGTTCAATTCTAGACCTCAGATTTCCATATAATTGTTGAAGAGTAGGGCTATAAGGACTGACGAAATTGGCATGTTCAATTCTTTGTACGTCACATTCTGAATTGACAGAATTATAATTGTATGACAATAAGTGACATGAAATTCAATCTTTTCAATTCAGGCCCCGGTTTCACAAAGCATTCTCAGACTTAAGTTAATAATTTACTCAACTTTCTTTCACTGTTTATGAGAAATATCTTTGATGCAGAAACACAAAACTTTGTCAAGTGTTATTTTACATGCTTTTCTTCTCATCCGAACAACTATTTCAAGGCGCTCAATTAAATGTCCCTGGCCCCGGCATCACAAAATATTCTCAGATTTAAGTTAAGAATTTACTCAAAATTGTTCGCCTTATATTACTTAAAATATAGCCCTTTATTAAACTTTTGTTGTTTTAATGTATCAAATACATTAAAAAGAAACTATGCAGTGATTGTACATGTATTGAAATATTCAAATCTATCTGAACTGATTTTTCAAGATTCATTGTTTAATTAAAACTAATGGAATGTGAACAGTTTTTTGTCTCTTAATTATGAAATATTTAATAAAAAATTCAATGAAATCATCAAATTTTGAAAACAAAAAAAAACAACTATTAAAGGAAAATATATTGATTTGAAAGATTCAATTTACTATAACTATAAACAGAAAAGTGCACCGGAAACCAGTCCATAATGATCTAGAATATTTGGATATTCAAATCATTTGTTGTAGAAAATGACATGCAAATTACTAGATGTTAAAATCTACTTTCTTTATGTTTCAGTACATTTGTTTGTCCAACTGAATTAATAGCATTCAGTGAAAACATGGATAAATTTCAACAGTTAAATACAGCCGTAGTTGGTGTTTCAACAGATTCACAGTTCAGTCATTTAGCTTGGATTAATACACCTAGAAAGGTAACACATGATTTCTCCAACCCGGAACCCAAACGCTACTTATCTTGGTTTTTTTCTAAGGCTCCACCAATTGAAGTAAGATTGACATGAATCTTGGCATGTTGTTCCTTGGACAATTGTGCATCTATTGCCGGCTTCAATATTTTACATGGCATCACAATTTGAAGATGGCGATTATGAAGTCATGCTTAGTTTACAGTTCATATAGTACTATCATACTATTTTTTAAACACCACAGAAAAGACACCTTTCAAACCTACCAATCTAAATGCATTATTCCTTTACCTAAATTGATTTACCTCTGAATATCAGAGACAGTAAAGCTTTGACTGCTTTCAAATCACAGTTGAAGACTCACTTACTTCAGGAATGCTATGAAACTTAGACTTTCCACAATTGAAGACTCACTTATTTAGGGAACGCTATGAAAATTAAACTTTCTACTCATTGTGTAGGCCTTACACTATTTTCTTATTGGACTTTGAGCATGCTTTTGGATGAATTTGGAGCTCTACAATTGCACATTATTATTATTAATGCAGGACAATTATTTTAGTATTTTTAAATAGAACAATATCAATTTTTGTCCTGTTTTGAGTTTTATTTTTATAAAATTGCTGTTTTCCACTCTAAATAAAATAGTTACCATTTAAATATATCATTGGAGTGGATGAGTGATTGTGTTGTCCCAAAATGACCTGGTTAGGATTAAAGATACATAAAGTAAGATTTAAATAAAGTGCTGGCCGTTCTTGCTATAATAGTTCAAAAATAGATAATGCAAAATGAATATACTGAAAATTTCATTCAAATTACTTTATTCTGTGCCAAGTTATCAGTGTTTTAGTTTTGAAGAGATATGTGCATTGATTGTTTATTATTGTAACCACGGTACTGGTATATTCGAGCCTTAGCCTCACTTTTCAATTTGTAAATTAAATCGCTAAATGGCAGAACCGTTCTAATCTAGTTAAAATCCTGAGCATCCAATGGCATCGAGAGTTGATTTTGGTCTTGGTAAGTTAATTAATGTCTAATTGACAATTTATATAACATTTAAGGCCTAAAGAAAGACCTGCATTAGGCAAATTTAACTCTTGAATAATGTATCTTTCAAGAAACATTGAATTTCCCCATCTCTCCCAATAGAGTTTGCAAAGTGAGTATCTGAACTATACAAATTACAACTCTATTTAAAATATTATTTGTTTCAGACTGGTGGATTAGGAGGATTAAAATACCCATTATTATCTGATTTTAATAAACAGATATCTCGCGATTATGATGTTTTACTAGATAAAGAAGGTGTAGCATTAAGGTAAGTACCATTAGACATGCCAAGTTTATTTTAGATCTCTTTAAGGTATAGAAAAATGAAGATCTCTTTTCACAGGAACAGACTGTACCGTACTTAATGTATAGTTAGTTCCCTTGATTTTTTACTCTTTCTTAGACACCAAGATATTTTTCATTTGCCTCACAGTGTCTTATTGGCCAATTATTACAACTTTTGTGTATTCATTGGGCGTTTTGCCATGTATTTTAGGCTAAATATGTGATTTAAATGTCCAAGAAAGTAATGTTGGGATCATAGTCATGTGATTGTTTTCTTTTACAGAGGTTTATTTATAATTGATCCTAACAGTGTAGTGCGTCAGATTACTGTTAATGATCTGCCTGTTGGACGATCTGTAGAAGAAACTATTCGATTAATTCAAGCTTTTCAGTTTGTTGATAAACATGGAGAAGGTATGTTATATCTATCAATTTAATTCAATTTAAATCTTTACATTATGTGAAGATCGAAATCCTGTAACAGTTATTATCAGTTCTTTGGTAAAACCATTCTTGTCATTGGCTAGTTATTAGACAGTGCAGTGCACCCACTATCTAACAAAGAAAATTAGTTTAACTAAACTTCTAAAATATGTTGTAAAATATTGGTTGAGGGACCACTGCTAACTCGGCTTGCTTTGATTAGACTAGACATTTATTTTCTTAGCAGTAATACAAGAGAGTCTTGTACTTTGTGTAGATGATCTCTTCAAGTATTGCAGGCAAATACGTACGTGATTCGGAAAATAAACAGTTGCTATGATATTGCATGGTTTGGTTATAAAACTGAAAATTAATCAATATTAGTCCAATTGTTAGAATAATTGTTTTTTTGTGGCATGTAAACCAATCCTTTCATAATTAAAGATGCATTATGTAAGATTTAGATAAAGATAATAGTTCAAAAACAGGTAATGAAAACTAAATCTATTGAAAATTTCGGTCAAATTACTTTATTCTGTGTGAATTGTCATTGTTTGAAGTTTTGACAAAATGTAGCGTAGATTGTTTATTATCGTAGCAACAGTACTTGACATTCTAGACTAAGTATTGGTTATCTATTTTATTGTTTTGTAAATATTTCAGTGTGTCCTGCTAATTGGAAACCTGAATCAGCCACCATCAAACCCACACCAGACGGTTCAAAAGAATATTTTGAGAAAGTCAATTAACGTTAAATCTTCCATAAAAAAATTTTTTACACAAAAGTATTAGATATCAAAAAGTAGATGATGAAATCATGAAGATGTTACTATATTTGAGAATAGTTTGAATTTTTTTTTTTTTAAAAAAGATCAATTTCATTTACTGAATTTGCAAAATTGAGAGGGCAACAAATCATTAAATAATATTTATTGTGGGGAGTTTGAAATAAGTAGACTATCCTCCCAATCCACTGCATATGATGTCTTCCACTGAACTTTTACGGTAGAATATGTATGGAAGCAACTCATAAATCATTGAAAATATATCAGTCCTATAACAAAAAACAACTAGGCACATTCTCAAAAACACACTAGGCACATTAATGGTACATATACTTGGAGTTTACATTAAGTAAGCACTGCTGACTTTTTGGTTGTTATGAAAGTTTCTGTAAGAAAATTGTAATAATATTACTGAAATGTATGTTAAAAACATTTGTTATATTCAAATTTTTCCAGATTTGATTGTTTATGAATATAGTGTTTTATGTTTTAAATTTTTTATTGGTTACATTATTAATATACAAGTAGCAGTAATCATATTTGCTAGTCTGATATTTTTATTTGTTATTTCATTTTATAGCTGAAATATTTTATATATTTTTAATTTTATCAGTTTTTCTGTGCTATAAAGTAATTGCCAATATGTGAAAAACTAGTCCAATAGAAACACTACAAATCATGAAAACAGAGTAATTACATGCATTTGTTGATTGATAATCTCAAAATACCGCACTTACAATATATTTTATCATATGTCTATTGTAATTTGTTTCTATATCTAGTCTCACAGGAATGCTTATTACTTGTAAGAATATATAGTAATGAATGTGATGTTTATAATATTTGTGACAATACAACTTGAATAAATGGACATATCACCATCTTGACCCTCCCTACTATTAAATAAGTTTTGATAATTTTGTAGCCCTGAATCAACTGATTTGTATAAATTGACAGACACTGCCATTGTAGCACAACCAGAACCCCAGTGTCATATTTCAGTGGACCTATAACTGTACTGATGGATTAATGTAAACTAAGGTGAAATATATCAGGAACATGGTTCATGTTAAGGACAAGCATTTCAAGATAAGAAGTTGATCTGTATAAAAATTTTACTTCAACTTAGATGTATGATTTTGTGATTGCACATAATAATGTCTCCCTATTTGATAGGCATGTGTAAAGTTAAATGTACTAGAACTATGCTGTGATTTATTATTGTTGCTGTATTTTTAGACTAATAAACTTAGTAAAATAAATAAAGCATTGGGTTTTAATATGTGTAACTTATGAGGGGTTTTTTTTATTGTCGAGGAGTTATTGCCCCTGAATTATGTTCAGCCCTGCATTCAGTATAAGTGTGCATAAAGTATTTTTTATTGCTACCATTTGTCTTTAATTTAGTAGTTGTCATTTATTGTCACAAAACATACCTTGGCTCACCAAAACAAATATTGTAAAGCAAACACAGCATTGACAAGTATTTATTATTTCTACATCATAATGTACTCCTTGTCATAAAAGGGGTGGCATAAAAGGGGTGGCAGAGTGTAGTGGTACTGAAGGGGAGGCTGTCAGGGTGACCTTTGGTTACAATTTTTTTGCACGACCAATGGTTGGAACTAGAAAACTAACACCGATGGTCAGACCATCTTCTGTTCAAAGACGGCTGCCCCATGTCCAAGTGGATGTCATTTTACTATGCTTTAGACCTCCAACCTTGTGAGTTTTCTCCGGGACCTCCAGTTTCCTCCCACTGCCAAAGACCCCTTTGCGCAAGCGAATCATTGAAATAAAATTGACCCATATGTTAGTCCCAAAATGATCTAGTTCTCTCTCTCTCTCAACCATAACCCTAGAAAAAAAAACCCTTAAGCTCAAGGAAGGTCTATACTTCTCTTCATGGAGGATAATGAATCGCTATGCTATATGATATTGATATTATATAGTTTAATAATCAAATAATACTTTCATGAAATTAAACTTGCGTCACTCAAATTCATTTTTTGAGACCACAAAATTCCTTGCAATTTGACTTTAGTTTTTGCATAGCCCAAAATATTGAAATAATGTGTAATTTTTAGACTTATATAGATTCAGGTATAACACATGTGACAAAAAATATCTGCTCATAGAAGTAATTACAACCATTTAAAATTCTGTCAAGCTTTCCAAAAATCATATACTAAACAAAAATAGATTCTTTCTGAATATTCTACACTTGGGTTTCATTGACACCCGCCATCTTGGAACTACTCCGACCATTCTGCAGTAGCATGGTTCAGTATTATCGGACTATGGTCTGGACTAAATCAAATTCGGATTCAGTTAGTTTGACCGTAGTCAAGAAATCACGATAACCGAAGGTCACCCTAGTTGCCAAGAATCCAGAAGTGTGGGGCCCATTAAACATGCACAACATCAGGGCCCATAAATATCTTTCGTGGACCCTGCATTACTGAGGAACAAAGTAATTGAAACTTACATAAAAAATGACAATTTTATTTCAACTCATACAAAAATATATAGTACAGTGATTTATATAATTTAAATTTACTTGTGCAATAAATAATATATCACAATAAACCACAAGTGCAACCCATAATATTATGTTTAATAAACTTCAGCAGAAATACCTGTACTTGTTATACGAATAGTTTATCTAAGGTGGTCAGTTAGTAGGATATAACATCAACAAGAAACTTAAGGATATTTTTAGCCCAGTTTCCGCTTTAGAGAAAAATCTGAAGTTTATCGCAATAATTTTAGGAACGCTGGACCAAATACTATGTTGCAGCAATATTCTTTTCCAGCATATTGAAAACATAATAGGATAGAAAAATAAAATAAAAATGAGCTATTATTATTATTTTTTTTTTTAAAAAGTGGTAAATAACTATAATTTAATGGAATTTGTTCTATGACATCAGGCAAACAAGAAGTTACATTCATGTAGTGGTCTGGTATAGTAGAGACTACATGAAATCAGTGATAATATCTGTAGAAGTTATTTAATAATTAAATATGAGAAACCATTAGATTTTATTGTATATTAAATATTTAACATAGCTATAGTACTGGTAGTAATTAATTTTATATCCTATGTTGTTAAACAACAGAAATTCCCGAGCAGTAGTCTTCTTTAGAAGATATGTCACCTCTTTCATGGAAAATGGAAACAACATCTGATTCTAAATTACAGTACAACCACATTATACACATTATGTTCTGCACATGATCCATGTATCCTTATTATGTGATCAAATCCAAAATAAACCTTAAACATATATCATATATATCTAGGGTTTTGGTCAGTTTTTGCAAATACATTGATCTTAATATAAAATTATGGTCTGTGTTCTGATGATCTGTAAAATATCCTCAATAATGCAAAACATGGGCAGGTACACATGTAGTACTGAACATGTACAGTACGATAAATATAAATCTTCATATTTAATAATTACCAGTACAAACTGATTTTACTGTAGAAAGATTGCCCTGATCGAATAGAATAACATTTAAATGGAAGATTCAAAGTATGCTGCACCTACATTTAGTGAAGTAGTTGTTATTTAATTGACAAATATCCTACATATACTGCTCTAAATTGGACGGAATTGGTGACAATTACAAATTTCTTTTGAATGAGCATTGTCTATTTATTTAAAGTTTCTTGGAACAAAAGCCAATTATAAATTTCTTACGTCATGTAAGTGATCAGGTATAAATATTTATATAATGTACAGGTATAAATATAAATACAAGGTACTGTACTAAGATGCAAAATTAACAGAAGATTCATCAAAAACATATCAATTAGAAGTGAAAATGGCCCTTTACCGGTGTTTTTTGTTGAATGTTCTTAGGGAACATCAATTTTTGCCTTTTGAGAAATGTTCCCCTTGACCTTCCCTCCTTCCTCGAAAGCATCCTGGATCCACAGTTAAAGACGCATTATCTAAGATGTAGATAAAGAGCTGGTCGTTCTTGCTATAATAGTTAGAAAATAGATAATGCAAAATGAATCTATTGAAAATTTCATTCTAATTACTTTATACTAAGCAACCGTCTTCATTAGCCCACTCGGAGTAGACTGGTAGGACGTTAAATAAACCCCATTTCATTTATATTGAGTGAAGTTATCAGTATTGGTAGTTTTGACAAGATCTTTGTATCAATTGTTTATTATTCGAGACTTAGCCTAATGGTCTTGTCATCTTAATAAATGTCTAATCAATAATTTATATTTTATATAACATTTAAGGCCTAAAGAAAGACCTGCAATAGGCAGATTTTGCTCTTGAATAATGCATCTTTAACACTGATGGTAGCTATGCCCCCACCCTGTGTTATAGAACCACACTGGTAGTAAATGCAGGAGGACCACAAGATAAACACAGGAATGTACAAGACAAAAACACAGGAATTATAAACAATAAATAACTATAAAATCAATGGGCTGATCATAGCATCCACTTCAGTCTATATTACAGAGCAGACTGGCTTCCATAAGTTCCCTCCTTATACTGTAATAATGTTATTGTTTTATGTCTTTATTTCTTGACTAATTTGGGGAGGTAATCATCATATCTTCCCTAGAATTGTCAAAAGTGACAACCCAATGTATAAACTAAGCCATAAACTTTTCACATTTAATTAAAAATGTTCACATCATGGTTCACTCATACCTGAAACGAAATAAAAGAAAAAATGATATAATAAATGATCTATTTACATTAAATAAGCTACCACTTTTACTTGACCAGCATTTTGAAAATAGAGTCAGTTATGAAACTATAAATTGTTACAATCTGGACGGCATTTGGGACCATCAATCCTGAATCCAGTTAAAAATCCTGGATCTAGCTGTTAGTCATTTTAGTCTTATAAGCATGTATTTGTCTAACAGATTTACCTCAGTTTAAATTCTAAGAAATAAGGTGGTTCTGAGAATTTCAGATTTTAACCAGGGGCTGCCAGGCAGGATATGCCCACATTTTGCAACTGATGGAAAGAGAACAAGCTAAAAACAAAAACAATTTTTTTCGTACAATCAGGGGACACAATTCAGAAAGTTATGGTCTGAAAAGCGCAAATATCAAAAGAGACTGAGATTTTTTGGAATATAAAGATCTGTTTTAAGTTTCATCAAAATTGGATAAAAATTGTGACCTCTTGAGGGTCCATAACCTTTGTATTACATACTTATACACAATTTGCATATAAAGAGCGTCCATTTTGTCGGGCAGTTTCATTTCGATTTTCCCGAAATTCCAATTCAACCTTCATTATGGTGGAATGGTGATATATCTAAACGGTTTTTAAAATCGGAAAAAAAAATTGTGACCTCTAGAGAATCCACAAGTAAAAATGCGATTTTTTGACCAATTAGGGGCAATAATCCAAGAAGTTACGTTCGGATATGTGTGATTATTAAAAGGAACCAAGATCTTTATGATAAAAACATATATTTTAAAGTTTCATCCAAATCGGATAAAACAAAACTTGTGGCCTCTAGAGGGTCCACAACCTAGATATACCATATTTTTACACTATTTGCGTACAAGGGGAGGCCATTATGTCCGTCAGTTTTTGTCCGATTTTCACGAAATTTGAACTCAACCATCATTAGTGTATAACTGTGATATATTCACATATTTTTCATACAATCATGGGCCATAAAATAGGAAGTTACAATCCAATATGCACACATTTTGAAAGGAACCAAGATCTTTGGGTTATAAACACGTATTTCAAGTTTCATCAAAATGGGATCAAAATTGTGACCTCTAGGAGATCCACAACCTTGATATACCAGGTTTACACTATTTGCGTAGAAGGGGCGGCCATTTTGTCCGACAGTTTTGGTTCGATTCGAACTCAACCATCATTAGGGTGTAACGGTGATATACTAAAATGTTTTTTTAAATTGGATAAAATAGTAAACTCTAAGAGGGACCACAAGTTCAAAACACGATTTTTCTGGAAGTTACGATCCGATATGCGCAAATGTTGAAAGGAACCAAGATCTTTTGGTTATAAACATGTATTTCAAGTTTCATCAAAATCGGATGAAAATTGTGACCTCTAGGGCGTCCACAACCTTGATATACAACTATTTGCGTAAAAGTGGCGGCCATATAATCCGGCAGTTTTTGTCCGATTTTCACGAAATTCGAACTCAACCATCATTAGGGTGTAATGGTGATATACTAAAACGTTTTTTTGAAATCAGATCAAAATTGTGACCTTAAGAGGGACCACAAGCTAAAAACGTGATTTTCGTACAATCAGGGGCCATAATTCAGGAAGTTACAATCCGATATGCGCAAATAGTGAAAGGAACCAAGATCCTTAGGGTTAAAAACATGCATTTCAAGTTTCATCAAAATCGGATCAAAATTATGACCTCTAGAGTGTCCACAAGCTAAAAACGTGATTTTTCGTACAATCAGGGGCCATAATCCATGAAGTTATGGTCCGATACATGCCAATATCGAAAGGAACTGAGTTCTTTGGGAGATAGACCTATATTTCAAGTTTCGGCAAAATCGAATAAAAATTGGGACCTGTAGAGTGTCCAAAAACAAATATGGAAGGGGGTGGATTGTCATTTTAAAAAAATGTAAGAATCAGTTTTAGAATACTTTGAAGGTAAATATTTGACCATGCAAGACTCAAAACCAAAAAATTCTAACATTTATTGAGAATAAAACATCTAGCTTTGTGTAGATCAAAAATATTAATAAAACAAATAAAATCTCTGGGTAGTAAAATTCCAGAGAAAAAGAGGGGGGTCCTTCTGTGTTTTATGGTCAATATTATTGATAAAAGGTAGTTCATATTGAGACGATTTTAAATAAGTTAATTGTAAAACCTAGTACTACTGTATGTGGTCAATATGTCTGTTGTTATTATTAATTAATAGAAAGCTTTATACTATTCAACTCTTGCATTACAGAAGAACAATAGGCTTTTAGGTTACCTTTTATTACTGTAGATCCTCTCTAACAGACAGTATATTTAATACAATCGCAATTGATCATGGCTGATTGCAGATCACACTTCAATCACAGGACAAATATTTGGCTTAATTATATATAAAGGCCCCAACATCCAGTGGTATATCCATGATTTCTAAATGGGGGCACAAAATTATTTAATTGCTTGCTTTAAAGGAGCTAACTCGCTAATATTTGGGACCTAGAAATTGACACAAATGGAATGCAAGCATATAATAATGTAATATAAATGTATATAAACTGATTTACATTCAATTGTTTCCGTATTTACTCTAATTTCTAATCAGTTAGGTTCAGCGAAATATGTCAGAAGTCTCAATCGAATTGCAATCTGTAGTGTCTGGTTATTCCAGTCTACACCGATAGTATTTATTGCTCATGCTCTCCAGATAAGAATATGGCGTCACCGTTTGACATGCATGACTTGTGATATATGTCTAGCTACAATTAAATTTTTTCGTTAAACTGTGTTTAACGCTACAATTGATACAGTCTAAGACTTCTTACGCAATGAGTTAGAGACTTAGCTACTTTAAATGGGAGTCAAAATAAATTGGAATTCAATACCGGCCAAATGCATGAATATTGTCATTATTAGTATTAGGTTTCTCCCTGCTTTTCATTTCAAAGTTTTTTCCAATCTGTCAGTTTTGATGTATAGGAATTAATCATTAAAATAGATATAAAACAAATTATATAATAATCATATCAGATAATTCAACTTTGTGGAAAAAATATTATTAAATGATTGAAATTAAGATCAAAACAGGTGAACTCATACTCATTTAGAACCAATTCTACCAGAATTAATTTGAATGCACTCAGTGGCCTAAGAGAATAAAGAATGTTTTTTTAATGTTCATTCAAGGACCCGCTTAACATGTTAGTCTTTACAAATATAATAATCTTTTCTTCTACTAAACAACATGAAATAACTGGAAGTACAATACACTGACAATTGGCTTACGGTACCTTGGTTGTTTACATTATTCTACAGATTTTAAATATTAACATCAACAGTCTAATGTATTGAATGCTTGCCAAATCGGTCAAATTTTTCCAATAATCTCGCGGGGGATTTATTGATTGAATGTTTGTTGACTTCATGTATGAAGAGTTTTTGTCTTTCTACTTGAGCCAAACAATTGGGAGATCTGAATATTTCAGAGGCAAGACTTAAACATGATGATTGCTTTTTTGTTTGAAGTAAGCAAAATAGATTCAAGATTAACCTAATTGAATACTATTTTATATTTAGAATTTGGGACTGATTTAAAGTGGGTCCTCGGCCTCCATATAATAACTATATGTGTATATCGTAAAATACAAAAATAATCCAAGCATGAAATTAATGCTATAAATTTGATGTCGTATCATCAGTTAGATTAAGTTCAATACTGGTAGGTTCGTTCGTTCCTGGAGTTTAAAATCCACATCCAGTTCCACCAAGGATGATATCGTAGACAAATACTGGTACAAACTTTTCTTCTCTAAGTACAGAGTTGTTATCCAAAAAATCAGTGGTATCATCAAACATACATTAGCACTGCCTCAAAACAACACATTAATCAAAGTGTTGATAATTTTACAATACCAGTACTTTATTATCTAATAAATGGTGTCTTATTGGCATGTTACCATACATGAATCCACACATTTAAACCAAGGGAATGAAAGGTCGCATTAATTTCAATATACAATTAATCAGGTTACAGCGTTCATAATAGATTAATTGCTTGCTGTATTGTATAATTTTGAAAATGTGTATAAACGCATATAATCAAACGTATACATGTATGACTTACAATGTTAACCTATGCTTGCAGAGTCAAGTTCTTGACCAATATTCACAAAATTTGGATTGTGATCATTATTTACAGTAAAAGCACTTAATCTCAGAACTTTCTGTCAGTTGAAAAAGAATTTAAAACATGGCAGAATTTTATTACAACACAGACAGTAATGGATTTAATGGGAATGGGAATGGGAGGTGCCCCTCCCCCCCCCCCCCCCCACTAATCTAACTCTGAACACTGACGAAGAAGCTTCTGGTGGACACCCGTTATTTATTAAATGTAATCTAATAGTACTTGTACTTGACCTGTTTCTTCTCTAATGTTTGATATCAGCTGTACGTGTAGTCTACTTAGATTTATTTGCTTTATTAATTCATAAGATATCACTATTCACATAAAAAAAGTTTTTATAATGGTGATATAACAGGAGGAATGTCAATCAAGGTCACAATATCTTTTCAATCTGTGTATTGTAAAATGTTGTGCAATACTGCACGCAAATCAATTTTTTTAATCATTACAAAAATTAATCTAGAGAAATATAATCAAAGATGTCTGTGTGTATGTATGTTCACCTATCACACTTGGTCACTACACTCCACCCCCACATATATGTGGTATCAAATTAACCAGCATTAACTTATTTTTTGTTGTCAGTCGGGGTAGTGGTAATAGACAATGCAGCCTAACCTAGGATTTGTTTCAAAATCTTCTTTACTCAGACCATTTTCACCATTTTGAACAGGACCCATGGATTGTTTCAGAGAAAACCAGCGGTTGCCAGAAAAGATACGCCCACATTTTGCAAGAGATGGATAGAGACCAAGCTAACAAAAAAGCGATTTTTTCGTACAATCAAGGGCCATAATTCAGGAAGTTACGATCTGATATGCCCGAATATCGAAAGGAACAAGGAACAAAGATCTTTGGGTTATAAAGATATATTTCAAGTTTCATCAAAATCAGATCAAAATTGTGTCCGCTAGAGGGTCCACAACCTTGATACACATTTACACTATTTGCGTACAAGGGGCGGCCACTTTGGCAGGAGTTTTGGTCTGATTTACACGAAATTTGAACTCAACTATCATTATGGTGTAATGGTAATATATTCAAACGTTATTTTAAATTGGATAAAAATTGTGTACATGATTTTTCGTACAATCAAGGGCCATAATTCAGGAAGTTACGATCCAATATGCGCAAATATCGAAAGGACCAATGATCTTTGGGTTATAAACATGAATTTCAAGTTTCATCAAAATTGGATCAAAATTATAACCTACAGTCATTTTGTACGGCAATTTTGGTCCAATTTCACGAAATTTGAACTCAACCATCATTACCTGAAGGTTTTTTTTAATCGGATAATAATTGTGACCTCTAGATGGACCACAAGCTAAAAAAAACAATTTTTGCATACAATCAGGGGGCCATAATTCAGGAAGTTACGATCCGATCTGCGCAAATATGTTTGGGTTATAAAATGCATTTTAAGTTTCATCAAAATCAGATGAAAATTGTGACTTCTAGGGTGTCCACAAGCTAAAAACTAGATTTTTCGTACAATCAGGGGCCATAATCCATGGGCGTATAAAAATAAGATTGTCTATTTGTATCAGAATTGATTATGCGCATATTACACAGTCTGTAATCTCACCACAAAAACAGTTATAAAAATTCTATTTACCATCTAAAACCAATTTTAAGAAATGTTTTTACCACATGTATCTAATGATATTCATCAGATGCAATGAAAACACACCACTGAATATGCTGGCAAGACATAATGCAGCTGAAATTTGATTATTGGCATGATTAAATTTATTGTGTATGAATATTATTATTGTGATCTAATGTTGTTACATTCAGAATTGCAAGATTAAAGTTTATCAATAATTATAAAAGTGGTCTGTTTTCGTTATGTTTCAATATTATTTTAAGCAGAACGATTTTAAATTTATTCTATGGGAGATATGAAACACACATGTATTAAAGAAGAAAGAGTGTTCACATACATATATCAAAAGCAAAAAAATATGTAATTTATTTTATTAAAATGGAAAATGGGCTGATCTGTAAGAAGACACATAAAGATAATGGTGCCACGGTGGCTAAGCGGGTAAGATGCTGGCTCGCTAGCCTGGAGGTTGGGTGTTCGACCCCTGCATTGGCCGAGAAAGTTTTTCGGAATTTTTCGACCATTGTCAGTGGTACAGGACGGAGGGCATGAAAGGACAGCTGTCTAGTCATTTGGATGAGACGAAAAACCGAGGTCCCGTGTATACATTGGCATGTACGTAAAAGACCCCTTGGCAGTTGGAATTTGATATAAGAGTAGACCATAGTGTCGCTGCCCAGAAAAAATTTCCCTTATAGCACACTGTATGGCGTATGCCCGTCTTCATTAGCTGATTCGGAGTAGAACAATAGGATGTTAAACCCGATTTCATTTCATTGTATATCATAAAGATGGTAGTGTGTAGTTAGTTAAAGCCAATGTAATCTTTAAATGACCGTAACAAATGATTTGAGTAACTTTTGGACCGGATTATTTTTTAATTGGAAATAAAAGTACTTTTGATTGTGTATTGTTCATTTAGCCTAAAGCTGTACTTCTATGGTTTAGTCATTTAAAAATAGACCAATTAGAACTTAAATCACAAGCCATTTATATATCTGTACTTGCAATCATATATAAGCTTTTCAAGTATGTTAATATAAAGTTGTGTTCTGCATAATTATAGATATATAATGCGCGTTGATCTATAAAAGCTTAACTTGGTTTTACCATTAACTTGAATTTCTTCAATAACAGGATAATATTGATTTCTGTTACAAATAACTGAAAGGTATTGGGTTTAAAACAACATCAGAAGAGAGAGTACATATAAGTCCTGGGTTCCCAACCTCTTGGTAGGGTTGCGCAGTCGCAAATACTCTGAATCTTTTGAAAAAATGCTATGTTTTTATGAAAATCATCTAGACATAAATCTCTGATCTAACACCTCTTGCCACATTGCCAATCATGTTTTCTCTCTCATGCTCGCGGATTGTTTCCTCAGTCTCTCAATACAACATTTTGATCTGTATATAATGATGATCTTTCGTAGTACAAGGTGACTTTGTTCTTCAAGGGGTAGGGATCAGATGGAATGGGGTCGCAACCAACAAAAGGTTGAGAACCACTGATATAGGTGTTGTACAGGTGTAGGACCATGTACTTAATTCAGTTAATTTGAAATGAGAGGAAGTGAGATAGATCTGCATCTGCATGAATCTAAGCACAAATTTCTTTTCAGATTCTTGATGCAGTGAAAGTATTTTCAAAATCATGAATATAGCCTACATGTAAGAAAATTGTGCTTAAATTTTGAGTAAAAGTCTGCACAGGTAGTGATGTTTAAATTTATTCATAACTTAAAATTTAATTTATTTATAAGTAATAAGTTTATCATAATTACCATTTAAAATTATTTTCAGTCGTAAAAATATTTAGTTTCTACCACCATCTTTGTCATTAGGATTTGTTGTGTCTGTCTTCTCTAGGTCTGGGAATGACTCAGCTTTCAGACTAGCCAACTCACAGGAACTTCCAGATCCAAGCAATGATTTCAAACTATCTGCCGTATCATGGCGCTGATGACATTTCATCTTTCTTGTAGAGTCAGCAGATTTTAAAGGTTGAGCAGGTTTTGATCTTGAATCAGCACTTCCCTCATCACTCGGCACAACGTTAAATGTTTCACCAAGGTTGACTGAGTTGGAGTTATTTACTTTTTTCTGTGATTTTTTGCGAGGGTCACCCGCTAGAGAAATATAATTTGGATATTTTGGAGGTAATGAGGTAACTGAGTGAGATTCTGAATTTCCTGAAAGGTTGTTAATATTAGAAGCTAATTCGATGTCTTCCTTTGATTTGCTTTTTTTGTGATTTTCATGCTTGTGAGAGTCTGGAATAGGGAAACGTCCCTCTTTATTTGTATTTTTTTTCACACGTTGAGATACACTTACATAATTATCGCAATCTTTTAACACACCCTGGCTTTCATCTTCCATTTCTTTTTTAATGGACTGTAAATACTGAGACTCTATGTCAATATTTTCTGATTCATTCATTTCTTTTTCACCTGATTCATCTTCAACAGCAGAAGTATGTAATCTATCTTTAGAGGTATTGGATCTTCTTACAGCCCATGGAACATCTCTATCATCTAAAAATTTGTTATGTCGATAACCTGAGGTGTCCATCGACTTGTCTCTCTTCTTAAGGGAGGCTTCCATTCCTGCGACACTCATATCTAGCCCAGAATCAGTTCCAAAAGATCTTTTAACATCTTTTAGACCACTTGTCTGTGAGGCACTAGTTGATTTATGAACTTCTGGCTGAGACACTGATCTTTGTGACAATATTATCTCTTGATTCACTTGTCTTGTTGACACAGGCTGTGAAGATGAAAATGCATCTGCTTCACTGCTAGAATCATAATCACTTGTATCGTGATATATAAAATATGTGTCAAGTGGACCAACATCGCAAGCCTTTCCTACAGGAATATTTTTCTTTGTTTCTGATGTTTCAACTGGAAGTTTATTATTCTTGTTTTGTACCCTGACACTGTCAATACTGTTTTCGCGGTTGTATGTTTCGATGTGAATTCCATCTGAAGTTGCAAACAGCACTGGGACATTAAAAAACTGGTTGCTTGGACTATTAGCTTTTTCCCGTATAACTAGTCCTCTCACAGGCTGATTTTTAATCTCTTTCTTCAAATTTTTGGGCGGAACCATATCACCAATCGAGTTACTTCGTCTACACAAAACAAAATCTTTTAAATTAACCCACAGAAAATTGATCCAGGAAAAAGTCAAGATAGGAAATATTGCAGCATAGAAAAATCTCATATAAACAAAGGTCACATCGACTGACCAAGGATAGTCGACAAGTTCGAGAAAATTACTGGCTTGAAATTCATAGCTGTATTGATACTGTCGGATATAAGCAGTTATAATATAAGGCACGCACAGCACAAACCAAACACAAAATAATAGGCCACCATATTTACACATGTGAATTTCTTTTTGATTATCCAGTTGATTTCTCTGTTTATATTCATTTTGAGCTTGTGGCATAGTTACCACAAATCTTCCTTTAAAAGCAGATCGTATAATTAACAAATATAAAATCAACATTGAGATGATCGGTATGACGAAACAAATTACGGAGGTTAAACATATATAGGTCAATGATGAGGAGTCGGTCAGGGAACACAGATGAAGTGGTGTACGATAGGTTGTCGGTATGGCTGTCGTCAGTAAGGGTAAACTAAATGCAGCAGAATGAATCCACGTACACACAATTATTAAAAGCATTCTGGGAATTGTTAAATAATTATTCGAACCCACAGAATATCTTACGGAAATAAATCGTTCCACACTAATACACAATAGAGTTAAAACTAACTCTATGAAAACAAGAGTCATACAAAATGCATTGATTTTACACAAAGGATCTCCAAATATCCATCCACCAGAAACAAGTGCTCCAAACACAATAGACATGTTCATCCAGCATTCACTTAACCCTACAATACATAAGTTTATTATCATAATATTCAAAACACTTTTCTTTCCACGGAGTAACACCAATAAAAGTAAACTGTTCCCAACCAATCCCGACACAGCGAAAAGCAAGAGAAATACAATTTTTGGAACCCGAGATGTTAAATCTTCTGCAAGTAGATCAGAGACATTTATCCCTTGTGACTGGTTGGTTTGATTTACAGATGCCATAATTATTACAATATCTTATTTTTGTATCTTCTTTTTCAATTATCTTCTGTCTTCATTTATTTGTTGGATGAATAATGCACCCTTGAAGACTATTTCATCTGCCTGTAATATAAATTAATCACATATCATTTTAAAAATCTAAACCTGGTAAGTGGGTTTGATTATTTCACCTGCCTGTCACAGATATTAATCACATTATTATTATCAAAATCTCAACCTTATAGGTTGGTTTAATTATTACACCTGAAGCAGATATTCCACACTGGACTTCTGATCATTTTTGCACAATTATTAAAATCTCAACCTTATAGGTTGGTTTAATTATTACACCTGAAGCAGATATTCCACACTAGACTTCTGATCATTTTTGCACAATGTCGTTTCTGGACTGATATCTAGTGTAGAATATCGCCATTAATGTTGTTTCCAAGAATGATGTGTGGCTGCCGCGATGTCATGACACCTGTCGTGCAAAATATTTCACATGGACAAAATTCAATTACTGGATCACAGCCTTTAGGCGCACTATACTTAAAATCAATTTGATCTATTATTAATTTACCAATCCATTCATCCAATTACGCTCTCACTTCATGCACACATTGTTTTATCTTTTACTCTGAAGTTCATCCTAAATCTATAGAATATTTACTATTCATAAATCACTATATAGTCATAAACACTTATTAATAATTCATTTAACATATGGCATGTTTACTATATACTACAGACCTTTTCATTTACGGCAGACCATTATAAGGATTGGCTGCTATAATCATTTACACAGATATAGACAATCATATATATACATGTCCCTAAATAACCTAACTGGACAAAAAAAAAGCTAACATAGGTTTAAAATTAAACAAATGATATCAATATTAGGTTCAATGTTTAATAATATTAGGTTTCATGTTTAACAGACAATATTATGTTCAACGTTTAATAATATTAGATTTTGGGTTTATGAAACAGAGAGAGAGAGAGAAATGGGGTTTAACGTCCACTCGACACAAACTAGGTCATTTCGGGACTAACATATGGTTTAACTTTTTTTTACATAATTCACTTGCGCGTAGGGGTCTTTAGCAGTGGGAGGAAACCGGAGGACCCGGAGAAAACCCACGAGGTTGGACAGGCGACCCTACTCCTTGTCACGTACAACCAGGGATTCGAAACCATGCCAGTCGACTCAATGACAGACTTTATGATACAGCGCGCGCACGCTAACCATTCAGCCATCCAACCCCCCGGTTTATGAAACAGTTTTAGGTTTAATGTTAACAAATGATAATGATAGGTTTAAAGTTAAAGATACATTATGGGAGATTCAATAACGAGTTGGCAGTTCTCACTATAATAGTTAAAAACTAGATAATGTAAAGGCAATTTGCTGAAAATTTCATTCAAATTGATCCACTATGAACCAAGAAATAAGTGGTTGAAAGTTCTGGCTAGCCTTGATCATCATTACTAAAGTCAGTACGATAAACAGCATAGTCTTGATTACCCACTATTCGTTAAATCGTGAAGGAAAGTTATGCGGTAAATCGGCTCATAATCCACTAAAGATTGCAGGCTAGCAATGCCATCTAGAGTTCATTATGGTCTGGATAGGTTAATTAATGTCTAATTAATAATTTAGATAACATTTCAGGCCTAAATAAAGACCTGCAATAGACAGATTAAGCTCTTGCATAATGTATATTTAAGCATGTTAATAATTTTAGGTTTAAAATTCTAACAAATTTTTTAATAAGATATTGAAAAATGATGTATTAGGTTTAAAGTTTAAAATATGATAATAATTCCAAGTTATGTTATTGACAAATAATTAAGGTATAAAGTTTAATGGATGACAATAATATATTTTTTTTAAACAAATATAACAAATGATAATATTTTAAGTCTGAAGTTTAATAGATGACAATAATGTTAATGCTAGGTGTAAATTTTAGGTTAATATTTTTTTTTACAAATGATAACAATTTTAGGTTGAAATAAAAATTATAACCATTTTCGTCACTGGGTAATCTGCCTTTTTTCAGTAACTTGATGTAAAGAATAGAGACAACCTTTTTCATTCAGTTCAAGTCTGGCGAATCATTAAGATCATTAGCTCACTGGATAAAAATGTATACTGTAGCATGTTTGGCTAGAAGTAGACCAAAGACGCAATGTGATAAAATCCACTTATAATTGCCTTTTCTTATTAAAAATTCTGTGATAGATATTGGTTAATCAACCCTTACCAACATATACAATGCCTTGGAATGCATTCACAATTATTTTATCTATACATTAAAAATAACTTCACTAAATTTCCTGTTTGATATTGGTTAATTTATTATTGGAGCTCTGTACTTGTTAACTCTCTACAATGTCATCAAGCATGAAGAAAATAATTTTATCAATAGAAAATAATAGACGATTAAAAGAAATACATTTTTATATCAATAATCTGAAGTGTTGGCTACAAGTGGGCAAAAAAACAACGAATGTTAAACACTTTGTGTGTCTGAATGAAGAGTGAATGGCAATGCAGACAAAAGATCCATTTATTGGAAAATGGTATGAAAAATTTCAGCGCATTTTAACCCATTCCCTTCTTAACCTACAGTACCGCATGTGCCCAACAATCAAAGATTAAGAAAAACAGATTTAAACATACATTATGGGAGATTCGATATCGAGTTGGCAGTTCTCACTATAATAGTTAAAAACTAGATAATGTAAAGGCAATTTGCTGAAAATTTCATTCAAATTGATCCACTATGAACCCAGAACTAAGCGGTTGAAATTTCCGGCTAGCCTTGATCATCATTACTAAAGTTTGTACGATAAACAGCATAGTCTCAATTATCCATTTAATCGTTAAATCGTGAGGAAAGTTATGCAGTAAATCGGCTCATAATCCATTATGTTCTGGATAGATTAATTAATGTCTAATTAATAATTTAGATAACATTTCAGGCCTAAAGAAAGACCTGCAATAGACAAATTAAGCTCTTGCATGATGTATGTTTAACCTACCTCTTCCAATGACCAAATGACTCATCATGTTTTTTTTATGTTTTTGTGTATGTAATAAATACAGTTATTTTATGTCACATGTTTTCCTACATTGCAATTATTATAGCCCTTTGATTAGTGGTGTTTACCACGGGGAATCAAGGCATTGTAGTTTTAACTGTTAAGCCTTGAGCTCAAGATCTGATAAATGAAATATGAGACCTACAATTTATATAAAGTCAAATCCTAATTTCTTGTTATTTGAAAGCTATTGACCATTATTTACATTGATAATTTAAAATTTAATTAAGAAACCATAACCAGTTGTAGATAATTTTCAAGCTTGGATTTAATCAAATTAAAAAAAGGCCCACCAAAAGATTTCATTCAGCAGTTATCTGGCTTGTTTATATCATCTGCAGAGGATGCAGGATGTTGGAAATTTACAATGTCTTTGTAATTATACTGAACTGACTGAAACCAGTTTGGACTGATATTCCTTTTAAAGCTTCAACTTTCACAATATTGTAGTTTACAAGAAATTCAAAACATCTCAAATGACGATATTAGCATTTTTTTAACAAATACAATAATTCCAGATTAATAAAATAGCCTATTATTATGTGTACCATGATTTTGTTTAGGGTGGAGAACCAGTCTACTTGGTACACGCTTTGTTGTGCTTTATTGAAGAATATTATTATTGACTGAGCAGTTACAGTGCATAAATTTCAGTTCACTTAAAGATACATTATGTAAGAGGTAAATCTGCCTATAGCAGGTCTTTTTTCTGGTTTCAAATGCCATATAAATTATTATTTAAACATTTGTTAACATGACAAGCCTATAATCAACTCTCTAGATCATCGGATCGCTCTGATTTTAAATAGATTAGTACACAGCGGCCATTTAAGTGTGTAACGATAAATTACATGTAGTCTCGGTTGTCAAATACCTTAGCTACGATAATAACCAATCTATGTTACCAAACTTCAAAAAGTCATATTCAATTTTCATTATCTTTTTTTTAAACTATTACAGCTAGCTCTTTATCTAATTTTTACATAATGCATCTTTAAAGACAGCTGCCATATGCAAGCAATTACAACAAATATATCAGTTCAAATCCCTGAATGTGGTGAGAAGAAGGTTGATTTTTCAGGACCAGTTCCCACTTGTCAAGCAAATTGTAAAGTAAATTGTCTTCAACTTCCAACAACCAAAAGATCTTTTATGTGCACAACTATACCTTCCTTGTGAGCACAAAGGTGCATTAGCATCACTTCGATTGGATGCGTGAACTTTGGTCATATATGGTAGTTGGCACATTGGAGCTTTCAGGGGAAATGCTTCCACCTCCTGACACCAGCCATTGGCCAAGCTCATATACACAAAATGATAGATCTATACATGTACACTATTAAACTAGTAAATAATTTATTTTACCTCCCAAGAACAAATTATATCTCTACCTTCTCATAAAAGTATCATATTGCAAATATATTACTAATATTACATTCATGTTCAAAACAAGGGAGGCCAGAAAATTCTTTTTTTTTATTTAGGCCTACTGAAAAATGTTTTACATGTACATTGTATATAGGAATTCCAAATTATATTATTGTAGTTCAACCACTGGGCTGGAAACTCTGATGGTAGCACTTGGCCCTAAGTTTTAATTGGCTATAAACAGTGACTGATGTCATGCACAATGCAGACTATGCTTAAACTTTCTAAAAACCCTTTTCCTTTTGGTTAACAAATTTTTGTTTTGCTTTTGTAATCATAAAGTTAGTAAATATAGCTAGTTCAAATTTAATAATAATAAAATCCTATTTCACTGTAATTTACATAATAATCCCAAATATTATAATAAATGTGGAATAGTAAATTTCTCTAGTAAAAAATAGTTTCTACTAATTAAATTATGATCAACTGTCACTATAAATTACTAGTAGTATAAATTGCTGAAGTTACAGTTTACAATAAACTATTATTTACTGGCAGGGCAATAACAGATTTAATCACCCAATAGATTATAATTATTCATGGCTGTAATATATCCTAAATGGTATAACTGTTACAGGGATTGATTATAAATTATAGGATTACCACAATATAATACTGTTATATATTGTTATATAAAGTATATACCTGCAAAAAACAACACCAGTAAACCTGCTGACGGAAAAATATCTACAGAGCACAACAGGGTTAATGTAAAAAACAATAATCATGGTCCATTATGCCGTCTTTCATTTAAAAGAAATAATTATCTTGCTGTAAATTACTTTTTCACAATGTCCTTATTGATATATAAGTCAAGTTCTGATATTATGCCATATATTCTCTTTATAATTTAAAAATTTGTAAAAACAATATTTGTATAAAATAATAAAACTATAATTTCATTCACTCACTTCATATTTCACTGCCCAAATGAGGACTACCAAACATTCAACTAAGACATATTCTTAAAACTGAGTTATGAAGAATTTTGTATAAAATGAAATGAAATGGGGTTTAACGTCCTACTGTTTTTTCCTAAACTGGGCTAATGAAGACGGGCATACACGCTCTACGGCATACTCTTATATCGAATTCCAACTGCCAAGGGATCTTTTACATGCACGCCAATTTGTACACGGGACCTTGGTTTTTCGTCCCATCCGAATGACTAGACAGCTGTCCATATCAGGCCCTCCATCCTGCATCACTGACAAGGGGAAACCACGCCGGAAAATCTGGATGAACTTTCTCGGCCAATGCAGGAATCAAACACCCGACCTCCAGGCTAGCAAGCCAGCGCCTTACCCACCTAGCCACGTGATCCCCTTTTTGTATAAATAAAATATATATATATATATTAATATATATTAATGTGATTCACTCACTTTCTTATTTCATTGGCATAGTTGAGCCTACCAAATATTCAACCAGGAAATATTTTAAAAACTGAATCAAAGTTTATTTTATTATAAATAATATATATTATATTTATGTGGTCTAGGGTCAAGGATATGGGTGTAACGTACCATTCTTTAATATTTACCGGTAATAATTATATGTTGATTCATCTCCTGTATTAGGTAAACTGTGTTGAAATAATCAGTGATATATACATAATGAATGAATGAAGGATCACACCTAAATCGATATATAGGTAACAGAAGTTATAAGGATAACTTATATTTTAAAACATAAATACATAAACTTGTTCTATAATATCAGGTAATAATATCATATTTTATCTGCATGGTTCAACCGATTTCTTTTATAAAGATATCTACACCCCAAGACTAATCATTTGTTTATTTTTTTGTCCATATCAAATGAATCTAACCATTTAAAAGATATATATCAAATGCCTTACAAAATGGATAGAATCCATTCCAACATGTTCCACGTGTGTTTATATTCTTACCTGGATGAAGATAAAAATGTCATCAGCATCCGCATCATTTACTGCAGCATGACGCCATTGTCAGGAATCATTCCAAGAAAAGACACGTCGTCATACATATAAATTTGTCACCACCTGTCATCACGCCCAAGCATCTGTAATCATTTCAGGTGCGCGTTCTATAAAAATCCACATGAATTCGTTTACAAAATACACCACTAAACATTTTAGCTAGCTAGTCTATTTCAAAATTTAATGCAATGTTTTCCCTTCAGGAGATATAACATGTTCTGTCCTGTAATTGCAGACGACAACTCAATCGATTTATCAGTTTTAACAATTAATACTGATTGTCCAGTCTTTCCCAGGTGAGCGAATTGTTTTGATGTAATGCAAGAATCCCGCACGCACCTGTGAACGCCTAGTTAACAAAGGCTACCAATATCGATATTAGCTTGTAAAAGGTATTTATTTATATCCCGTCTTTAGTTGGAAACGATTCGAGGTTTATCTGATTCTATTGTATTTACTTATCACGCAAATCTTAGTATTTGTGACCTATCCATCGAGGCAATTATATTAATTGCAAGCACGATAAATTAATTAATAACACTTTTCAGTCGTATTAGCAAGGTTTTACAACTTGGGACACTTGAGGTTGACGTTACAGGCCTGGCCGGTGTGATTCAATTGCGGTTAAATATACTAGGATTTCACCCGAAAGAATGAATTCGCGCTTAAATGCCACTTTCTTGTTGTCGTAATATGTGCGTCCAAATTTCCCATAAAATGAGCCATAATTTCTTTTTTCATATAGTTTAAGGTACCCTCTACCCCTCATATCAAAAAGAGTTCCTATATATTAATTTCAGAGACGCGCAGAGTGCGTTTGCCGTATCCATAGTGTTAATATTTAAGACTAAAAGAAAAGAAAATGTTGTATGGTCCCCTATATAGGCTTCAGCCTAGTCAGCATTCGGGATACTACGGACTGTGAGATGTGCCTTCGAATAAGTCAACCATCGATGTGTCGTTCTAAGAAGTATAACCTAATATAGTTACTTTAGTAACGAAAATATGAGAGCGCTACCTGCTCTCTTCTGGTAGGGCTCCCATATTTTCGTCACTAAAGTAACTAAACCTATAAACGTCGACAAAGAGGAAGCTGCTTGAAATTTTGCCCGATTTTATATGACACCGAACCGAATAAATTTTAGTCTTGCTATGCCAGGCATTAAACATTTCAGTTTTCACCCAAACCCCTGCCAAATCGATAAAACAAAAATAGTAACGTAGCATGACTACCCACAAAACAACTTTATATAGAATGTAAAGTAACTGACATCCGGTGTTCAAATTATTCAGTCATGACATATTTACCGGTACTTCTCTTCGAAGGTTCAGTGGAAGGGAAGTTGTTGTGTGCTAAAAAGTGTAACGCACAAACAGACGGATGGACGGGTGGTACTTTTTACCACCGACCACCGCCGACTACCGCCGACCGTCGTGAAATTACCGCCGACCAAATACTTTTTACCGCCGACCACAATGTAATGACTTTCGACCGTAATATAATTGCCGCCGACCAAATACTTGTAACCGCCGACCAAATGCTTAATGATTCCTTGTCACCGCCGACTATTTTACGGTTGTTTTTTTATATTTTATATATATTTTAAAGAATATGGGAGGACAAAACTACAATTTAGATATTGAAGGGCAAATATATCAAGATTGTTTCAGCTACTGGTTATAAATAAATAACATTTTAGGCCTATCTTCTATTGTTGCGAACACTTCTACACCTTTTGGTTTGATGGGTTTTTTCGGCTGGTAATTTTGCTTTCTTTACTACACAAATTTTTTGGTTTGTTGAACAAATAATTTCTTCTTCGTCGCGCTTCCTTTTCGAGTCTTTAAGAAAATTTGCAAAACATTTTTCTTTTTGCTCTTCGCTGAAACAGCGCCACTTTTGTTCTGAAACAGAATATGCTTTATAGCGACCACAAAGTTCATAATCTCCAGAAAAATACAGGGTTTATAGATCTTAAATTAATTAATTGAAAATTCACACACATATACTACAGCTTCTCGATTAATTCTGGAGCCTTTTGGGGTTTCCAGTCAATGGCACATTTAAAAATATGGTTTGCGGATTCCGCGTTGTTATTTGTTCATAATTTGACTTCGTCACCTTTTCGGTTGAAATATGACACGTGTTTTTTGAATGTAGGATTAATCTTACTTACAGTTTCGTAACGATGCATAGTAATAATGTCCGTGGGTTGGGGAACTAGTGGTACAAACACGGTTTTCCCATCTGAACGTTTTCTCTCACAATATTGTCCCACTTTTTTAAAAATACACCCAAAATTATCAGCCAGGTAGCCTTGAGAATGACACCTCCCCTTTCCCGAATCCCAAACACCACAGTCGTCGTAATAAGTCATTCGTTGTCCCTCCCCTTGTCTTTTTAAATTATCTTTATTATTTACTAAAAACCACACATTAGACTTATCACCTGGGGGGCTTTCCTTAAACACATATTCTTTTTCTATAATCGCCTTATAACAGTTCTTTGCCGACATGAACTTATTGTTTTTTTAAACTTTGCACATTTATGGGACGCGGGAAAGAATGAGAAGAAAAATCCATGTCGATGGGTTCCGTTTGAATCGGCGTCTTATCAAAAATGTCTGACATTCGCTTGTCACATTTCTCGGGAGATGTATGGGAGAGATCTGGGAGGGGTTTGGGGATATTTATGGAGGAGTCTGTTGATATTGTTGAGCTGTATAGCTTAGTGTGAAAACTAATATTTTCTGCTGGAAGAACTGGTTTAAGTAGCACGAAATGGTTTGGTGACCAATAGCGAATTAAGACGGAGCACCAATAGTATTTGTCCACATGATTTCAACCTCAGGAATAAGATGGGTCTGAAATAACATTAACTGGGGGGAATACAGAATAAATTGGTGCTTTTAAAACATCAGCTTCAGCCATCATCGTCCAAACCGAGGAATACAAGGAATCATTAAGCATTTGGTCGGCGGTAACAAGTATTTGGTCGGCGGTAATTATATTACGGTCGAAAGTCATTTCAATGCGGTCGGCGGTAAAAATTATTTGGTCGGCGGTAATTACACGACGGTCGGCGGTAAGAAGCATTTGGTCGGCGGTAGTCGGCGGTGGTCGGTGGTAGTCGGCGGTGGTCGGCGGTAAAAAGTACCACCGCGGATGGACAGACCCATTTTAATGGAATTGAAACTGTGGTTAGTGCATATATTCCCCTGAAACCCCAAATACAACAAAAGTCGTCTTTAGCCCTATCCGTCCCCAGTGGACAGAGTTGGATTACCCACAGCACAAGTAGGGCTCCCAAGATCGTCTAGTTTTTCGAATGGTACGAAACACTAGGCTATCGAATATACCACACCACGGATAGCACGTTAAAGGCCCAATGACAGTAGACCGTATCCCTGAGGTCACGGAAAAATGTTCTCATGTACCCTGTACATGTTGGTCTTAACGTATATAGACAAAACCTTGAAATTTGAAATCAAATGGAAGTTCTACTTATAACACACTGAATGACGTATGTCATTCGCCCCCCCCCCACTCCTTTGCATATTTGTTCTCCGACGTTCATCGACATATATAACGTCGAACAAACACACGTGCGAAGCATTGCAATGTGACCGTTTTGACCTCACCCACTCTAATCCTATTACACGTAGGGGAGAGCGGGGTACAGTGGGCATGGTTTCTTTTTTTAGTGAATCAACCAGAAGTGAAATCCTACAGAGAATCAAACTATGCACTCAGTTGAAGCCAGTCATATGTTCGATTTAACAGTGCTGTTAAGAAGTTAATAAATTGAAACCATTTTTGTGTAGATCATTGTAAAACCAAATTTTTTTTTGACCCAATGTGCCCCGTGTGTGGGGTACACTGGGTCACACTATGGGACACAGTTGGCCATCATGTATGTTTCTTTTAAAAAAAATGTATAGTAAACACACCGAAACTCAATTAAGAACTGTAAAAAGTAAACTTTTAAGACTTGAACACAGATATGCTGCTGAAAATTTAAAAAAACAGCTTAACATTGAATAAAAAATTCTTTAACTGGAGAAAAAAAATCTTTTATGTGAAAAACTCCTATGATCTCTATCCGAGCAGAGCCGATAGGAATCCGTTACTAAAGTAACTAATGTGGCCTCGAATCAAAATGAGTTTGACACCCCTGGGTCTACGGTAAAATACAGAACTAGGCTGTGGATCACTCGACTGGTAACTTTCATCATATAGTTTCGAAATCTTAGTAGGCACGTGTACAATTTATGTTATATTACATGGTCTATTCCATATACCACACGATTCATTGGTTAAGAATTGAATTGCACCTGTGTACGAAAAGTTCATATAACTAACAGCTTTTGTAACACATTTCTGACGGTCTATTGCCAATAGTTACATTATATCCAGTAGCCCCCTCTTCTAAAATCCAGGTCCAAACACACCTACATTTGGCTGTAAGTGTGTGTTCCAATCTTATCTCATGGTCTTGGCCTAGCTACGAGAACGAGAACGAGAACGTAACTAAAAACGCTGAGATATACAGTGGCAAGTGGCAAACTTAATTTCTTTATTATGTATCATCTTGAAAATAAGTTCATTTTATACTATTGGTAATTATTACACATACGCAGTCCAATCTACTGAAACAACATTTATCAGCAAATATTGACAATAAAGTAAATAAAGCGTTGTTTTTATCAAAATTGATTCCGACGTTCATAATTACTACTGCGCAACTCTGATCAGATTAGTACTTTGATTGGCTATTGCACATGAGGCCCCGCCTTATGTGTTACAGATGTAAATTTAAAATGTCGAAAAAGCAATCTACTGTCGCTTTGATTTAAAAAGAGGGGATTTGTACCCGTTTCAGGTAGGATTATATGCTTAATTGTAGTTGGGTGTGGCAAAAAAATTATAAATAAAAATAATCAATCGTTGTTTTGATTAAAAATATTGTCAATTTTGTTTACAAATGTGCTACGTTGAAAGTAATAGCATCATCTCTTATCTATAAACAGGGAGGGTTGAGAGATAAGGTTTGTTATCTAGGTCTTGGCCCAGTGAAAAATATGGCAATTTAGGATTATTTTCAATTAATTTGCTACAATTGCTTGTCCCCAGTAGTTACTTTTAAGTAGTGGTTGATCCATAAAGCTAGCAGTTCATGATTCAAATTATGGCTTCTATAAAGAGAAAATTCAACAAAAGTAAAATATATGCATGGATAGTATAATTACTTTTAACATTTTGATGTAATTTGCTAGCTAGTATGACGAATTGTTCCATGAACTTTGAAAACTGTGACTTCCATTTATATAAGCTACCACAAAGGCTTACTTCTTCATTCTTGCTTACTGCTTCAACATTACATTAGTTATATTTTGATTAGCAGAAAGAGATTCATAATGTGTATAAAACTGTTCACGTATTTTGCGATATATTTGTTAATTATTATTTTCTTTCATTGTGTCTGGATCTGGAACATTCGGTTGCATTATAGTAACATGTTTTGTGGGGGCGTTGAACACTGGTGGCGTTCAAAACTTTTCGAGAGGTACTGACTTACCATATTTGTTTAGTGAGATGTCTTCACTCATTTTCTCTTAGGATATGTGTAATTTCACCATATGTTTGGCGCAATATAGCCCGGTTGGAGCCGACATGCCATAAAAACAAAACTCCATTTCATTTCATTTATAACTGTGATGACTCCAAAATATAATAAGAAAATCACAACCCCAAGTCCCAACATGGCACAGTGGCTAAATATAGAATTTAAGAACATACACAATCAGAAGTACTTTATTTAAATATATTCAGGTACAAAAACTATTCCAATCAATCATATTTTAAGTTACGGCCATTCAACATTTACATCAGTTTCTTTATACACTGCAACAGATTTTGCTTGTTTTAGTCTTTGAAATGCTTATAAGTATTTGCATTTTTCGAAAACTTTCAAATTTTCATTGGTTTTATCCACACTAAAATGACTATTTAACATTTAATTAAAGGTACAAAATCAAAATATCTCCTAATTAGTATACGATCTCCTGTGATTAAAAAATGCCCCTTCAAAATGTTTTAGTGAAGATTTTAGGTGCTATGGGTGGTTGACCATATCCCTTTCATATCGTGTGCAAAGGAAGCAGAATCCTGACAAATTTTCACTCCATCATATCCTTTAGGGTGTTTTATATCTTTCTTAATTAAAAGCAAAATGCATTGTGGTCGTGGAAACTATTTTCCTCTAAGTGGTAATTAGTTCAGTGCTTTTTTATGTGAACTGAAAGACTCCACCTTTGACTGTAATGCTTATCACAAAGATGACATTTAAAAGGTTTTTCCCCAGTATGAGTTCGTATATGCTTGCCAAGATCACTTCTAGCATAGAATGATTTACTACACATATCACATCTATGAGATTTTTCTCCAGCATGAATTTGTAGTTTGTGTGCATTGAGATTACTACCACGACTAAAGGATTTTTCACAAATATCACATTTATAAGGTTTTTCTCCAGTGTGGGTTCTCAAATGTAGCTGTAGTCCACACCTGCGATTGTATGCCTTCTTACAGATGTCACATTTGAAAGGTTTTTCACCTGTGTGAATTCTGCTGTGTGTTTGTAGACTGCATTTTTGAGTGAATGATTTACTACAAATGTCACATATAAACTGATTGCCTTCTGTATGAGACCTCACATGTTTGACTAAGTCACTGTGAGTAACATATGACTTGCTACAGAAATCACATTTATAAGGTTTATCTCCAGTATGATTGCTCAAGTGTTTCTGTAGAGTTGAGTTTCTACTAAAAGATTTATTACAAACACCACACATATACGGAGTAGCATTAGTATGAACTCTCATATGCCTGGTCAGATCACCATTTGAACAATAGGACTTGGGACATAGCTCACATTTAAAATGTTTCTCTCCAATATGCATTTTTAAATGTTTTTGTAAACTGGTACTTCTGGTAAATGTTTTACCACAAAGCCCACAAATAAAAGGTTTATCTGATGAGTGAACAATCTTGTGTCTGTTAAAATCACTAAAGGTATAAAATGAATTACTGCATCCAGAAACATCACATTTATATGGTTTTTCTCCAAAATGAAGTTTCATGTGTGTCTGTAGTTTACCTAAATGACTGAATAATTTACCACATAAATCACAAGCATGATCAGATATGTTTATCGGTTTTGTCCCTGGTATTGTAATTTCGTCAGTATTGACTTTTTCTTCTTCTTCTTCTTCTTCTTCTTCTTCTTCTAGTATTTTCTTATCTGAAAATTTATTACATAGACTGTTTTCAGCTCCACTAATTTCTACATCATCATTTTCGTCTTCATCAGTATGTATTTTACTGTGCTTTGTTAGGTCACTGTACCGTTCAAAAATCTCCCCACATGCAACACACTGATGACAAGTTGGGACAACGTTAGTTTCCTGAAATACAAATAAATAAATGAAACCTAGCTCCAGAGCAATGGCTAAAATTTAGTAAAATGGATAAACCTTACATTGCACTCGCAGTTTTAGTTTTAACATGTAATTTTCACTAGTGCATTATTTCCAATCAGATCGGATGATTTACCCTGTGCTAACCTAGTATCACCCAATACCACCAAATACCATCGCCTGCTACTAGTGCTAGCTTGTTATCATCACGTGACAAACTAACAAAATACTGAATCATTTCAATTATGTGTTAATTTGGCAAAAATTTTAATCTAAATTGGAATGTTTTTTTTTATAGTATTGTTGGAAAAGGGGGGCTTATGGAACACCAAACTTTGCCAAAGAAACAAAAACATTAAACAGTAACCTTCGCATAAGTCTGATTCGTAAAAGTCGGACCAAAATGACCTTAGACGTCTCATTAGGAGGATTTACCCGTTACTGACTTAGTTGTGATGCTGTGGTAACTTTGCTGTTTGACCCCGGGTATCATTTTACCCTTATAATGGTCAGTCTGTGCCTTACTTAGTCTAACGATCATTTGGAATAAATCGATGAATGTGAACTTCATTTCATTTTGTCATTTGTTTCTTCGTCAGTTTCATTAGGTGACTTTAATAACACTTAAAAATCAAATATCCCCTACTTTTTTTGAATAGTATATATAAATGTATATGAATGTATATAAACTGATTTACATTTAATGGTTTCCGTTTTTACTCCAATTTTAAATCAGTTATGTTTCGCGAAATAAGTCAGCAATCTCAATCGAGTGCAAATTTCTAGCGTCTAGTTATTCTAGTCTACATAACTCCATTTGATTTGGTGCAATGTGTCTAGCCTCGTCCCTCGAGTCTCTCAATACAACTGGGGCTGAAGCGCATTATGGTACACGATTCGTGTACCCATGTTAAAAAAATTATTTTATCTTAAATATCGGATATCAGAAGCTCAGCTTTTCCCGGTAAGTTTACATCATCAATGTTGATTTAAATTGACCAATAATTCGTGTTTTCGATGTCGAAGATTTTGGAGGATTTTGAGTTACGGACTTAGGTCCTTTAACTCAGATAAAATTGGCCAAACCACTTAGATACGACTTATGCGAAGTTTAGTGTATGGAGAGGATGTTCCAATATAGGCCTACATGTCGCCTACCCCTGTGTATCAGTGAAGGGGTCATTGTAGGCTATGGCACTACAGAAAAGTACCCAGGGTATCCTTGGGTATATAGAGGAGTACTCAGTCAGTTCAACCAATGTTTTGATTATTTCTACAGTATTGTAGTCCTACAGCTGACAACTACCCCGTCTGCGATACTATTAAAAATAATTTGATAAAGCTCCAGCCACTGCCAAGTCACCAATGATGGTGATACTTTTCTTCTAGATTGAATACGCTTAAACATGTGATAGAAATAAAGTATCCTATATTTTATAATTAGATCTAATTACCGGATTTGCCGTTTTGTACGTAGACTACCTTCAATATCATAATCATTGTTCATGGAAAAAAATGTAGTTTTCGAGTGCGACTGCCCTATATAAAACGAGAAAAATCGAATTATACAACCCAGGGTTTCAAACCTGCTATTCCACAAGACTGGATTTGTTTGGGGTTTTTAGTTGCGACAGAGTATTATGGGTTCCGTGGATAGACTTACCATTTTCAATTCACAAATCTACCATGTCATAATGAACCCCAGCCTTTCTTGGACGCCATCTTTAATGTGAATGAAGATGATTAGTAATTTAAAGACGTGGATCAAACTAAAACGAGTAACTCTCAAAATCACATAAACAGCTATAATCAGTCACCCAGTCTCCCTTCAGCCTTATGGGGAACGGCGGTGGCTTAGTTAGTAAGGCGCAGGCTCACTAACCAGGAAAAACTGTGATAGAAAAGTGTATGCTCCTATATAATTTTGTGGGATTCTATAGAATGTTATAGAATACCGGGAGCCACTGTGACTCAGTGGGTAGGACTAATCTGGAGGTCCTGTGTTCAATCCCTGCATTGGCTGAGAAAGTTCATCGAGATTTTCCGGGGTGGTTCCTCCTTGTCAGTGGAGCTGGACCGGTTGGGACGAAAAACCAAGGCCCTGTATACACATACATGTATATAAGATATAAGAGTAGGCCGTAGCGCCGCTGTCTGGGCAAACTGTCCCTCATAGCACACTGTATGGCATATGCCCGTCTTCATTAGCCCAGTCGAAGCAGAACAGTAGGACGTTAAACCCCATTTCATTTATAGAATACTATTTGAAAAAAAATTCATTATGTAGATTTGTTCAGAAGACTACAGATCTGAAATAATATACTATAGTTTCGTATAGGATCGTTAGTTGAGTTTTTTCCAAGTGTAATTTCCTATAGAATTCATTAAAATACTATGAGGAACTATAGTAAAAAAGATATAGATTTTAAAGAGCTGGTACAGAATGGTTGGTAAAAACTATAGTTTTCTTATGAACTAACAGGTATTCTTAAGTCTGTTGTGTAATCAATAGTTTTCTATGGTATTCTATAGAAACTATAGAAGAAATATTTGTTCTGTAGATTTTATGTAGAAACATCCAGCATAACCAAAGATGAATGCTTTATCCATAACTTATAAACCTGTAACAGTAAATATCTTTGATCTTTCCGAGTTTTTCTATGCCCGGAATAACTGCAATCTGAAAGTTGGGTGGGAGGGGTGTATGTGTGTCTTTGAATATATATCCAGGGAGGGGGGATTTGCAGTTGTTCTGAGGTTTTGCTTTCCGCAAGAAAACATGATGCTGGGTTATTTTTACAACTTAAAATTGGACAGGTTATTCTTTTCATTGGGAAAGGCAGGGATATCCACAGATTTTCATGCTTTTTGCATACCAATCAATTTTAGCTGTTGAAATTATGAGAGAGAAATTGAGTCTAACAACAACTCAACACAAATTAGCTCATTTCGGTACTAACATATGGTTCAATTTTATTTCAGTAATTGGCTTGCACGTAGGGGTCTTTATACATGTAGTAGTGGCAGGAAACCGGAGAAAACCAACAAGGTTGGACAGGCGACACTACTCCTTGTCACGTACAAGCGTGAAATAGAAACTGCTGTCTGGACAAAATATACCACATAGTACACTGTAAGACCAGGACGGAGGGCCTGACAAGGACAGTTGTCTAGTCGTTCGGATGAGACAAAAAGCTGAGGTCCCGTGTACACATTGGCGTGCACGTAAAAGACCCCATGGCAGATGGAATTCGACATAAGAGTAGGCCGTAGTGCCACTGTCCAGGCAAAATTTCCCTCATAGCACACTGTATGGTGTAGTTTGCAAAGGGATTCCTATATCGCTCAAATCATGCTCAGTGATTTTAAACACACACAAAACAATATAATAAAAACTTGGCTTTTTGATTTTAATGCTGCAAAAATTACATATTTACTGGGTCAAATGTTTAAAGTTCTCCTGTGCGTGATATTTTTGACAAAACCCTTTTAAGGGAGTTTTCAGTTCTCCATTTTCCCTTACGAATCTATTACATGTTAAACATCACATTTAAATGGTTTCTCATGGAGTTTCATATGACGTCGAACATGACTCTTTTCATTAAACGATTTATCACAGTAATCGCATTTAAAGGGTCTTTCACCAGGATTTGTATGTTGTGTTCTAGTGTGTGATTTAAGAGAAAATTTTTGAGTAAATGATTTGTCGCAAATATCACATTTAAATCGTTTCTCTCGGGTCGGATTAAAGATCCCCTGTGCACGATGTCTATGACAAGCCCCTTTGAAGTGAATTTGCAAATTTCCATTTAGCTTAAATGATGTGTCACAAATATCACATTTAAATGGTTTCTCATCAGAATGGATTTTCATATGCCGTCGAACATGACTCTTTTCATTAAATGATTTACCACATTCCTCACATTTATAGGGTTTTTCACCAGGATTTGTATGTTGTGTTCTAATGTGAGAATGAAGAGAAAATTTTTGAGTGAATGATTTGTGGCAAATATCACATTCAAATGGTTTTTCACCCGTATGACTTCTCATATGTACCTTCAGATTACTCACACTACTCAAACTTTTACTGCAAATCCTGCATGCATAGGGTTTAATTTCTGCATGTTTCTTCATATGTTCTTTAAGACGCATACTTAAATGAAATGATTTATCACAAACATCACATGTATATGGTTTATCTTCGCTATGAGTTTTTCTGTGATTGTTACGACTGTACCTTCGTCCAAATGATTTTCCACAAACATCACAAGCGAAAGGCTTTTCTCCAGTATGTATCCGCATATGATCAGTCAGATGATTTAGTAAATAAAATGAGGCGTTGCAAACACCACATATATATGGCCTCTCTGTGTTGTGAATTTTCATATGAGATCGTAGGCTGTCTTTATTACTAAATGATTTACTACACAGATCACATTCAAATGTTTTCTCTTCAGAGTTTTCTTTCAAATGAATTTCATGATGTTCTTCTAAGTCAGAGTACAATTCAAATTTCAGATCACATGAAATGCACTGATGAACTGCTTTAAAATCATCTGCTTGCTCTTCACTAAAATGTACTGTGCAATGTTCATCTAAGTCAGTATCATCAGTTTTCTCTTCTTTAACATGTATTTTATTGTGGTTTTCTAGATCAGTGAGATGTTGAAAAGACTCTTCACAAACAACACACTGATAATCAGTTTCCTGTAATACATGAATAAAAAACAATTAAGACAGATCGCATGATTAAATGTATGTTTTTAGTGTTGTACAATTGCTTTCCCCTCAAATTAACTGAGCATTAAATTGTGGGATGTTGCAGGGCTGTCAAAAAAATCGGTAATTATGTATCGACAACATATTGCAATACAGATCCCCCGCAATATGTATTTGCCATGAAAGAATTTGGTGCATCAATATGTTCACTCTACTTTCATTTTGTTGGCAAATAGACATTTGATAGTTGTTTTCATTCTGTGTGTATCAAAACACACTTTCGAAGAAATAATTAATTAAAGTTCAATTAAACAGTAGTTTGTATAAATTATTGGTGACTTCAGTCATCATCTGAAGTTTTAGTTTGGTGTTTTACAATCTCCATCAGTATTTCTATTCTAATTTCAAACTTTCATTAGAAACATTATACTGGTATGCAAAATTGTTTCTATTAAAGTCTGTTCTTTGTTTTTCTCTCTTAAAGTTGAAAACAGATTTTTCAATATATTGTAATATATAATATCGCAGTATGCCAGCCTGTATTGCAATACACAGCCTTAAATGTTACGTTAATTATCTAGAGAAAAATCTAAAACTATACTTGACTTGTCGCAACCATAATACAGTTACCGGTAACCTGAATAGTGGTCAGATTCTAAAGCCTACCCAAGATAAATTAATAATTGTGTAGCCAGATAGAAAAATAGACATAGCTGTACCATAACAGTACATGAGAAATTACATTAATTCTTACCATGTTGAAATACAAACATGAAGTCTCCAATTAAAAGCCGACCCACACCTACAAAATAAAAAAAAGTCAAAATGCATCAAGGGCTTTATAAGAACCAAGAGATAAAAATTAATTGTAACACTTTATACTGGCTGAAATCAAGCATGTGTGAAGAACTTTTTTAGCACCCACTTCTACAAAATTAAATGCCAATGGTCATGCTACAATTACGATACTGTACAACAATTTCACATAAGACAAAAAAATTTAAAGAGAACTACTGGTACCAACTGAATCAGGGCCAAGATGTAAACATCCACTGGTATTATACAGTCCTGCATCTACATTGACTATAGCTACAAGAACGTAGCTAAAAACGTTGACCTATAGGCCTACTGATGTGCTTGTTTTACGATTGGGTGCCTTTAGTTCAATTTCTTTATTGCCGGTAATACATGTAACATCTTAAAAATAAGATAATTTTATACTATTATGACTAATTAAACTAACATAGGCCAATGTAGTGGCAAAACTATTGCCTAACTCCAAATATTCGAATTTAAATTAATGAAGCGTTGGTTTTATCTGACAAACACCGTCATACATCTCCCGTTTAAAAATGGCGTTCTTAGTAACGACTTAACACCTCGATTTTAAATACGATGATTCATACCTGTTTCAGGTAGAATTATATGCGTAATTGTAGTTGGATGTGGTCGAAATATTATAAATAACAACAACCAATCGTTGTTTTGATAAAAAATACAGTTTGCTTACTGAGGCCCGATGTGATTTGCATTGGGCTTTGCTACATGTACATGGAACTATATAGCACCATCTCTTATCTCGAATCACGGAGGGTTGAGGGATGGGGTTTGTTATCTACATTGGCTAGGCATCAGTTAGGTCTAGTTACTTTGTAGGCTAATAGTAAACTGGACTAAAATATGAGCCAGTTCTGGTTCACAAACATTTCAATAATTACATTCTTTTTTTACAGACACTGTAGCCGTCCCTATTGCACAATATGATCTATCACATGCTTGTCGGAAATACAAATCTTGGCATGTTGAAAAAATGAAAGGTGCATCGTAGCTCAAGGTGTAAGCGCCCCAACCGAACTTGATTCAATGGCCAAGATATGGATAGGCCTGGGGCCAGTGGGGGCAAAACTATTCAATTTCATACTCCGTACTGGATCTTGATTTGCACGAAACCTACCTTAAACCTATCTGTTTTTTACAAAAACTTTTTGATTCTGCCTCCCTTCTAAATATATAATATATGTTTATTTCAACGCTTAAATCAACGAGCTATATGTGGCTTTGTTTTGCTAGATTTCTAAAACTAAAAGCGCCCATTTTTGTTCTTCGGCGTGGCTCCTTATTTAATTTGGACTTGGACCAAACCGGCTTGTGTAACTCACCACACAAACATTGGACGATTTAAAGTTTATCAGTAAATTAGGCACAGAAATAAAGTTGCATATGTAGAAAAGTGTAACACAATTGAGATAGAAAGTAAATCGACTGGTGTTGACTGTTCCCTCAGAAATATTTTACAGTATACTTTGTTACCAAAATATTATCTAAACGTCTAATACAACCATCAACATATTTTTTTTATAAAGCATTTTATTGTCCTAACCGCTGTCTACTAACACAAAATAGAAATGGAAAGCGAACTTTGATCAAGAGTTCGGAATCATGTTCAAAACCCGACAAAAGTATTATGGTATCCAAATCATGTTTTCTGAATAAGGCACTTGCACTGAGAGAGAGAGAGAGAGAGAGAGAGAGAGGGGGGGGGGGATAAGATAAGATAAGATAAGATTTTTATTGCATCGAAACATCCATTTAGGACAGCATACAATATAAACGTGTACATAAAAATTATAACAATATGACAATTATTACACAAGACACACAATATTGCATCGGAACCTCCCTTGAGGATAACATACAAACTACAAAATATCAAATACGCAGGTGCATCGGAACTTCCCTTGAAGACAACATACAATATACAAAATATTAAATACAGGTGCAAAAAATTGGACGGATACAAACATATGGACGGACATAAATTCAGAGCACTCATACATAAACAGTATGAAACCTGCATATGAAACAAAACGTGCAAAGTATAAAATCACATAACTCGACAGTAGAAGACCCACATACAGGGTACATAATATATCAAAATACAAAACAAAGCGTGCGTACATGAAAGAAAATAACATATGCGTATTTAACAGTTCAGATGTCTCTCCTCAGAAAAGAAAAGTAGACAAAGGCTGCGACACTTGTGGCTATAATACTCGGTGGGTCGAATAGATTTTCAAATGAAAAGGTTAGACCAGTGTTGTCAAGAGTTTGATATATATATTGTTTTCTTAAGTCTTCATATTTTTGGCATTTCATAAGAAAATGTTGTTCAGATTCAATTTTGCTTGCATTGCATTTTTTACAGAGGCGATTCTGTACACGGGACCTCGGTTTTTCGTCCAGTCCGAACGACTAGACAGCTGTCCTTGTCAGGCCCTCCATCCTGCATCACTGACAAGGGGAAACCACGCCGGAAAATCTGAATGAACTTTCTCGGCCAATGCAGGGATCGAACACCAGACCTCCAGGCTAGCGAGCCAGCGTCTTAAAGAGAGAGAGAGAGGGAGAGAGAGAGAGAGAGAGACACACACACACACACACACACACACACACACACACACACAAACTAGGTCATTTCGGGACTAACATAATATGGTTTAATTTTATTTCAATAATTCGCTTGCGTGTAGGGGTCTTTAGCAGTGGGAGGAAACCGGAGGAACCGGAGAAAACCCACGAGGTTGGACAGGCAGGCCCACGGTCCCGTACAACCGGGGATTCGAAACCACGCCAGTTGACTCAATGATACAGCGCGCACGTGCTAATCATTCGGCCATTCAACCCCCCTTACTTGCACTGAGAGGAGAACATTTGTAAAATTTGTAATGATTTAAATAAATTAAAATATTAAAATCATTTATATTTAGAATTGTAAATAAAGCGAATATAATTTAGATCAAAATTATATTGTAATATTGTGAATATTATAAGATAGTGGAATTTACCATGATTAGATTTCAAATTGTGTAATGACAATTATTTATTTTTGTAAATATATAAGTATTATATATGTATCTATGGACCATTCGATCTAATTACTGAAATAAACTATTATCTACTAACACTTTTAGTTTTAATTAGTTTTCATTTAAACTTTCTGGGATTGTTTAGTTAGGCATGCAATGATTTCGCAGTTACTTTAGGAATTTTGAAAAAGGGGGGGGGGGGGCGCGCAAAATGAAGGCACTGACCGCGGAGACGGGGCACGCCGCTGAGAGGGGGGGGGGGGGTCCCCCAAGAAAATTATCCGTCATTTCCTTGCATCTGTAGCTGCATCTGTAGCCATTCCAAGAGCTATTTGGCTGATATTTTCGTCTAAATAAACGTTCGGAAATCGTTGAAATCGAGCAAAAAGCCAGTTGAACATGCGACTCGAAAATTGGCAAGGCGAGCGAGGCATTATGATGGGGAAAAAAGACGAATCTATTCCCTAGCCACTTCACTATTTAAGCCTTGTAACTTGTAACTTGTACTTGTACCCCCCCCCCCCCCCCCCCTGCTCAGCTAAATATTTTTTTTTGTAAATCAACACTTTTTATGAGAAAGATTTCTCGGACGTGTGCTTTATCCTTTATCGTCAGATGTGGGACAGAATGGGCACTCAAAGCGCGAGATAATGATATAGACATCATGTGATATCACAATTAATGCTTTGCATCCATGAAATTGAATCACAATGTCATTGTATTAATTCATAATACAAATTGACGTCAAACGAGGTTTAAAAAGCTCAATGTGTATGTATGGGCCTATACGCCAAAATGACGATAGAGACCATGTGGGTTTAGTGTTAGTGTTAATTTTTATTTTATAAAGCAATATTTTTATTCAGATTTGTATTTGAGTAAGGATTGGGGAACAAGCATATCTCGCGTTTCCACCACGCTTTTACCAGGGGCCCGATTCCTAGAAAATTCTTAAGCACGTTCTTGTGCTTAGATTTAAGTAGGGGGATAACGTGGCTAAGTGGGTAAGACGCTGGCTCGCTAGCCTGGAGGTCGGGTGTTCGATCCCTGCATTGGCCGAGAAAGTTCATCCAGATTTTCCGGCGTGGTTCCCCCTTGTCAGTGACGGAGGGCCTGACAAGGCCAGCTGTCTAGTCCTTCGGATGAGACGAAAAACCGAGGTCCCGTGTATACATTGGAATGCATGTAAAAGATCCCTTGGCAGTTGGAATTCGATATAAGAGAAGGCGATAGTGCCGCTGCCCGGGCAAAATTTCCCTCATAGCACACTGTATGGCGTATGCCGGTCTTCATTAGCCCAGCATAGGAGCAGAACAGTAGGACATTAAACCCCATTTCATTTCATTTCATTTAGATTTAAGTAGACTCTGCATTTAAGTAAACTTACCTTATTTTGTGTTCCCAGAAAATTCTTAAGAACGTTCTTGTGCTTAGATTTTAAGTAGACTTCATTGTAATGACAAGAACGTTATTATGCGTTCCAAGAAAAAACGCACAGCTTCGTTCTTAAACATATGTCAATCTAAGCACAAGTCCCAAGCAAGGTATACGGCTTGCTTACCAACCTTAAGTCTGTTTCTGCTTCAAAAAGATGGCTGACCGTAGAGTTATTCGACATGTTTTGACACCAAAGAGACAATTACAAGACAGAGAAAATACCTTATCCAGAAGAAATTTCAAATTAAGAATTAAGAATGCTATAGAAAATTTCGCTTCTAGGCCTACCGTGAAACCATTTTATTTATTTGCCAATTAGTAAACAATAGGCTACAAACCTACAAGCTACATTAAGATCAGTCGCTCTCACAATTATTCAGTTAGTTTGTATGTGTCTGTGTTTTTTTTATCTTGTGGCACATTTTATATGTAAAAAGGGGACATGTCAAATGCATTGAAATGAACCATATGACGTCAATAAAGCAGACGAAAAATTTAAGACGTAATTCGCATACCAAAGTTGTTTTTATGACGTTAAAGAGCATCGTAGTCTCAGTTTATGGTAAACTTTACCAGTCACAATGTGCTTAAACTTATACTTGACTTGTGCTTTCGTAAGAATGGTCTTGAGAATTTTCTAGGGACGGTATTTTTATAAGTTTCTTACGTAAGAAAAAGTGAAGCATGACTTTGTGCTTACTTTAAGAATTTTCTAGGAACCGGGCCCAGGCTTATGGCGATCTTGACGCTCTCTGAGACCAATTTCCGTAGCCGTAGCAGAGCAATAAGGACGCCACCCCGTATAAACCATTGATTGGTTGATTGCCTCTTGCAGAAGACCGCCGACAACGTCTTTAACCCGATATTGTTTCGGGCATTTCGGATTTTTGCTGAAACATTTTGATGCCCCTGAAAGCATGGCACAGAAATATTTTTGACTTTCTCCGATCGGCGACCTTTCTTTGTAACCATTTCTGTTTTGGTACTCCCGCAGCCTATTTCTGTGCCTGTGTCGTTTTATAGTATCGTTTGTGACACACAATAAATTCTCCACCATCACGATGAATAAGGTGGGATTTCTGTTGAACAGAATCTTTGTAATCGGTAATCATTTAAGACGAAATATATTGTGAACATAACCAAAAATACCGAGGTTCTGAGTTTCCTACTCCAAGCATTTATTCATTTAGAATGCATATCTGATAAATAAAAAATAATATAAACAACATTTACATATATTAAAATTCTTATAGTTTATCTTAAAATATATCGTAAGATAGAACACCTTATAGCACTTCTTATTTAATTGGCGTCGATCCAGCGTGCGTTCCACTTATCAGTGGGATAGGATTTGTGTCTGGTCGTTCGGATGGTATGATAAACCGAGATTCCTTGTTATACACTATATTAATTATATAATTTATATAAGTTAATGGATTTCTTAAATGTTCCAGTTTTAGCACTTTTGGTAACCACATTCATAGTTCTGAAAACAAGTTTATCGACAGCCACATTCTGATGCAATCATTTCCTCGTGATGTCTCACTACAATTTCATCGTATTCATAATATAACATAGTCAGTGGCCTTAGTTTCGTAGGAACGCAACACGCAGCTGGAGCAGAATTTGTCCCCTTCGCACGCATTAAGGCTTTCAACATCGCATGATTTGTGGGTTTGTATTTAACGTCAATGGGAGAGGCACATTCTCCGAAACAAAATCGAGCATTAAACTTTTGAGGGTGAATAACCCATTGCCCCCAGCCTATGACATTAAAGTCCACTTCAAAATTGTAAAGTTTGCATTCTCCCCTGTTCCTCCTACGACCGCCTCTCCCAATCTTATGTCGTTTCTTTCTGGAAGGAACAATGTTTAAACCCAATTCTTTATCACGTTTTTCTTGCTTCTGATTTTTGTACACGCTTGATAAAAACTGTTCATCTTCCAAGTAAAATACTATTAAAACACCAAAATTCACCGAACCTCGGTGTTTGGTTAATTTAAGCTTTTTGGGGACTTTAATGTGAATAGAGAGATTTCCCTGGTATCCATTAAACCATGGTCTAACAATTCTGCTAACATCAATAACTTCGTGTTCGCCCTGTGATTGTGTTTTTACTCTTAAAACAACCTTTTTAACCACGGAATCGCCCCTCTTTAGCTCAATTTTAAACCTCATCTTAACTCCTGGCACATATTTGATAGGGTGTCGTAAAAATCTAATCTCTGCTGTCCTTAAACGTTCATTATTTGGTAGCTCTGGTATTTGAAAGTAAACAATTCTATTAGATTTTTTTATTGAATTGGTTTTAGCTGAAAGTAAAAAATAGATAAAATAAAAATATATATATACAGACCAATTTCCAAACAAACATTGAATAAAAGTAAGAATGTTATATGTCAGGTATTGAAGTGGTTTGGCATTACTAGAATCAGTGTTGTTCTATTATAAATACTAGGATGTAAAAAAAAAAAATGATTCTTCTACTTGATATTTATACCAGCCATAGTATATTTATTTTCCTTTTACAAATTACCAAATATAAAGGTAAATATAAATCTACCACTTCAGGGTACCAAATGAGTTCCAGGACAGAACACGGGAAGTTTCTTCAATTGGAGTGAGATACATTATTTAAAATGACGGCCCTTCTTTGAGTTGATTTTCATCCAACAAAACAAATTACAACTTACAATGCAATCTGTATATAGATTTCCGGCCCGTAGATAATCCAATGTTGAGATATAACCGATTGTGTGTTCAGTAATCAGCCCCTTTAAGTTAAACAGCGGCAATTCCATTTTATTACTTTTAAACATAATTGACTGTAGATTAGTTAATATGCATCAACGTTTCTGAGAACACAGATAAATGCTAATATATAATAAAAACTGTACATACCTTCAGCAGAGAAACTTCGAATTGTATCTGACTTAGAAATATCGGGCTTTACCCGAGATTGACCAGATCCCTGTGTTATTGTTTTTCCTTGTTGTAACTCATTGAATAATTTCACCATAAACACAGTGGATGCTTTACGATAATCTACACTCGATTTACCATTATTAGAAATTAATTCTAAAATATCTTTGTTGGCGGTTAAGTGGTCTTGGTCCTGTGGAGTAATAAAGTTTGATTTTTGTGGAAGGTTGTTTGGCTGCATTTGCCCTTTCAAACCACGAGCCTTAACTTCCAAGATATTTGCAATACCACTAACTACAACAAATAGATGTAGATACATTTTTGATTTGCGTTGGTTGTAAGTTTCACCTATCCTGTAGGAATGTTTCATTGACACTATGACCTGTTGACGAATGGGGGTCGTTAAATACACCTTGATTTGCTTGCATTAAGTGGCATTAATTGTATCGTTATGAAACATGATGTTTAGCCACGACAACAGGATCTCCAATCTCCATGTACATAGACATATCTGGGTGAAGAGAGGAATACCTCGGTTTTGGTTCTATCCGTACAACTAGGCAATACTTTACTTCATGGTTTGGGCCTGTGAGGTTATCACCACAAAATATTGATCGAAGTTCGATTTAGATTCATTCTAATAAAAGTTTATAGACGGTCGAGGTTTTTTTTCTTGTTTTTCCACAAAATTTGTTTGTTTAAAAAATCGCTTCTCAGAACACTATGTGTCACATTCGAGTGACAGTGGGTTAATGGGTACCGGATTTGCACAAACTTTTATCGTCTGGGAAATGCATGTGTATTCAATATACAGATCGCTTGGTTTGCAAATTTAAGGCGCAAATTGAACTGAAATGGAGACATGGAATGGAATAGAGTTAAACGTCATATAAACTGCTGCGCCAGCAATGCTAATGATAACCGGCATGTATAAGAGGAGAGTATGGTGGCTGATTGGTATCATGTCGTGATGTCGCTCTTCATAAGGCGACAACCCGACACAACGACAAAAAACAAGCTCCTGTGTACACATTGGCGTGCACATAAAGAATCCTTAACAGTTGAATTTCAATGAAGAAATGCCACGGTCCATTGAAAATGTCCGTCATAGCACTCTGCATAGCGTATGCCAATCCTTAATAGCCCGATTGGTGCAGAAACTGAAAATTGAATGAAATGAAAATGTGTTTAACGTCCTACTGTTCTGTTCTGACTTGGCTAATGAAGACGGGCATGCGCTATACAGTGTACTGTGAGGAAAATTTTGCCCTGATAGCGGAGCTACGGCCTACTCTTGAATTCCAACTGTCAGGGGGTCTTTTATGTGCTCGCTAATATGTACTCGGAACCTCGATTTTTCGTCCCATCCAAAAGACTATACGTTATCCCTGGCCTTCCGTCCTGTACCACTGTAAAGAGGAATCACGCCGGAAAATTCCCGATGAGCTTTCTCTGCCAACGTAGTGATCGAACACGAGACCTCAACGTCTTAATCACTGTGTCATGACTAACAGAAAAGTAGGACATTAAACCCCATTTCCGGAGTGATTCCTCTTTCACGGTGGTGCAGGACGGGGGGGGGGGGGCTGGCAAGAGATAACGTATAGTCGTTGGGATGGGCCGAAAAACCGAGGTCCCATTTACATATTGGCGTGCACGTAAAAGACCCCCCCCCCCCCTCGACAGTTGGAATTTAATATAAGAGTAGGCCGTAGCGCCGCTATCCGGGTAAAGTTTCTTTGCCAGTCCCTTTGTTCCGCACTACCGACATGGAGATTGTACGAAAAGTCACCTTTTTTTTTAGCGTGTGGTCACAATTATCATCCGGTTTCTTTCGATATTCGCGCTTATCGGATCTTAACTTTCTGAATTACGACCCTTGATTGTACGAAAAATCTCGTTTTTAGCTTGTGGTCCCTCTAGAGGTCACAATTTGTATCCGATTTAAAAAAAAAACGTTTGAATATATCACCGTTACTGATGATTGAGTTCGAATTTTCTGAAAATCTGATCGAAACTGCCGGACAAAATGGTCGCCCCTCGTACGCAAACTTTGAGAGAGAGAGAGAGAGAGAGAGAGAGAGAGAGAGAGAGAGTTTAACTTCCACTCGACACAAACTAGGTCATAGTGTTTTGGAAACGAGGCTAATTGAGATGACGTCACGTGCTGGGTGGAAATTCTTGGGTGAAAATTATAAAAATCAAATTATATTAAAATTGACTTGGGTAAAAATGATAAAAAACAAATCATATTAAAATTGACTTGGGTGAAAATTATAAAAAAACAAATTATATTAAAATTGACTTGACTTCAATGTTAAATAAATGGCTGTAACATCACAGGCTGTAGCTTTTTGCTCAACATTCCGTTGGTTTCAATCTTTATAGGCACACATTTGGCAATCTCCTCATCATAATTTTGTAGGGGGGGGGGGGGCATTTAGATTTTTTGCTACGGGGGTTTGAAGTTGACTGGGGCGAAAATCTCACTTCTGACACAATGATTGCTCTGCAGAAAGACACTTTACACCCCCTCTCCCTCCGCTGTAATATGATCAGTATTACCCAAAACTGCCATGAAATTGCAAATTTGGTCCCTTTTCTCCAATTTAAGACCAGAAAGTCAACCCAAAAATGACGGAAGAGGGGATATGTATATTTATAACTCGCACTACTATTACTAGTCTTAGTCCATATGGCCGATAACCCGACACCACGACATTTTAACCAGACACAACGACAACCCGACATCTTCACCCGACACTTTATAATGTTGATATCAATAGTAAAACATTAATTTATGTCACTGTAGTGTGTAGCATTGTGGATCTCTAACATAGTAAATAGGATTCCCTTGGGCAACTGGTTTGCTTTGCAAGGTTTTTGTGCATGAGGGGGAGGGGACGTGGGACATTGCTTAAAATTGGCGGGAAATGTAATGATGTTGAAATAAATGTTGATTATCAAATAGATTACTAAAACATTAATTTCTAGCATTGTACATATCTAAATAAATATGCAGCTGTTTTAAGTCTGATCAAAATCGCATAAAAATTTGGACCTCTCGAGGGTCCATAACCTTTGTATTACATGTACATACTTATGCACAATTTGCGTACATGAAGAGCGGCCATTTTCATTATAGCACTGTACATCTCTGAAAACGGGTGTATGATTCAACTTGAACAACTGCTTGTATTTGTGTGGACAAAAACGTCTTTTGCAACCTTTCATAAAACATCATAGTATTAAATTATTTCTTATCAAGCAATTCATTTAAATGATCAAATTTCTTTTGAATTCAAATACGCATTCAAAATTTTTGTAATAAACTAATTATCGTCTTATAATAAAGCAAAATGGAAGTTCCTTTTGTGTGATTTCATTCGATAACAAATAGTACATTAACATAAGCATCGTGAAGTATAGTATAAACTGTGGATCTTTGCCAAAATGAATCCCAATGCCAGGCCTGTCAAACACAATAATTATAGTGGCAACTTGAATCTGGAAATTGTTTTAAGCACACATAAGACATATATTGAAAAATTGAGCAGAATACCAGGGCTTAATGTCCACTCGATAAACTCGGTCATTTCGGGACTAACATATGGTTCAATTTTTTATTTCAATAATTCGCTTGCGCAAGGGGTCTTTAACAGTTTGAGAAAACTGTAGGACCTGGAGAAAACCCACAAGGTTGGACAGGTGACCTTCCTCCTTGTCATGTACAAGCGACGAATCAAAACCACTCCACTTGACTCAATGTAAGACCTTCTAATCCAACACACATGCGTTAAACATTCATTCGTCAACCCAACCCTCCATTTTGTAAAGACCGGTTTCAAAAACACTGCACCGTTTTTGTTCCCAAAATGAAATTTTGGACCCTCAACACCCCCACCCCCGCAAGCAAAAGGATTATCCCCGCAAACAAAAGGATTATCTAAGTGCACCTTATACACTACAGTTCTAGAAACCAATATCATCACTTATATCAACAGTGTAACTTACAGCAACATGAATTTTGCCAAGTCTTCATATTATGGTTAAATGATTTACAACAAACATCACATCTATATGTGATTTCCCATGATCCCCTAAGCACATATTTTTTTTGCTTTATAGTTAATCCAGTGCTGAGTTAAGGAAAATACACAATCAAGTGTGAATTATTTTCATTCTTTCATGTGGACGTATTACATTAAGTTGTAACCTGTATCCTTCTGGACTCCTAGTTTGATGTATCTGTGTGGTACAGAATTCTCTCAGCAAAATAATGAATCTAGAGCATTAAACTAATAGTTTTATTAGACTCTTAAGTTTACAAGTTTTCTTTTTCAATATGAATTTTGGCATGTCTTTTAAGACTTGCATTATGGTTAAATGCTTTACAACAAACATCACATGAATATGGTTTTTCTCCAGTATGAATTTGAATATGGCACTTTAAATATGTGTGAGAAACAAATGATTTACTACAAACATCACATTTATATGGCTTTTCTCCAGTATGCACTCTTCTGTGACTGGTTAGATTACTTTTACTTTGAAATGATTTATCACAAACATCACACAAATATGGTTTATCACCTGTGTGAACTTTAGTGTGCCCATCTAGCTCGCCCTTTGTTTTAAATCTTTTCTCACATACATTACATTTGTAAGGTGCTTCTCCAGTATGTGTCATCATGTGTATCTTAAGAGTATGATTTGCGCTAAATGATTTACTGCAGACATCACATTTAAATCGTATTGCTCCAGTGTGAATTTTCACATGTCTCCGGAAATTACTGATCATATTAAAAGCTCTACCACAAATATAACATTTAAAAGGTTTTTCCCCAGTATGAATTCTAGCATGCACGTTTAAATGACCATTTTCACTAAATGATTTACTACATACAACACATTTATAAGGTTTTTCTCCTGTGTGAATTTTTGTATGCCTCTTTAAATGAGCATGGTTGTTAAATGATCTTTGACAAACATCACAGCTGTAGGGTTTTTCTCGGGTATGAGTGATCAGATGTCTTTTTACATCAGCTTTGCGACCGAATGATTTTCTACAAATATCACATTTAAATGCTTTCTCTGTTGTATGAATTATGTGATGCCTTAGTAAAGCACTTTTAACATAAAAAGCTCCATCACAAATATCACACTTATAAGGTCTTATTCCAGTGTGAATTTTACTGTGAATTTTGAGTATACCATTCGAAATAAATGATTTACCACAAA